TCAGACCGCTGTCTGCTGGTGGCCCCCTCTGCCAAGCTGCCAGCTGGGTAGCATGGAATGTATTTTTGCCATCTAAGGTTGAGTCATTGATATCAATATTGTCACACGGAAAAATGCACGAATCTCCCAAATACCAAGTTCCTGGGAACCACTGCCCCAGTTTGTGGATCTAGTGCTTTAAGAGTGGTCTTGGCCATCCCTGTGTCATATTGAAGAACCCGGGTGTAACTGATGATGTGCCCCGCATTATGGAATAGCTCAACTAATTTTCTTGACCGTGTTGACTGGTGAAGGGCCATACCCATACCAACATGTTTGGGTGGTGCTTTCTTGTCTCCGCAAACACCGTAGACCATGTCTTGTCCTATACTACGAACCTTTGTGTTCTTAACCCGTTCAACATCAGACATGCCTACTTCACTTTCTTCAAACTCATTATCAACATGACTTTGGCCACCAAGTAAGATATTCAGAAACATGTGTACCGAAGGAGGTACACTGGCCAACTCTGCTTCTTCATTGACGTCACAACCTTTGAATCCTGGATGTGACATGATATCACTACGGAGTCTCAGTGCAACGTGCACCAGTGACAAGAACTCATCTTGTTGTCTGAAAGTAGGAATATATTCTGCAGTGCTCTGATCACATGTCATTTTCGAAAGAGGTACGTTACGGAATCGGACCGGAAGAAGCAAAGTTCGCTTTTCAGAAGGAGCTTCATTCCGCAAGACAACCAATTCAGAAGTGTCCCCAATGTACTTTGATAAAGATTCCTTGAAAGTCCGCAGTCTACTGAGATATGATGATGGTATGGTAGAGTCTGACTCACTGGCTAATTCTTTGTACCTCTTGAAAACTGCAGACAATTCAAATACATGTCCATTCTCTGCACGGTGACGTAACTCTTGACACAACCAAGCCATGGCCATATCAGCTGATTTGCATTCAGTTTCTGCCCTTTTGGCATCCCGCAGAAATTTACTGAGACAGTGAATGTGATAGCATGCTTCGGCTGCTATTAAATCATTCACGTCTGCAATGCGTACAAAGACCTCGTGCACATATTTTTGCATTTGTGTACACTTTAGAACTCATGTTCAGGGTAGAAACACGACTCGTCTTCTGTTTACTTTCGGCACTCTGACAGAAAATACACAACGTCCAGTACACTATGGAAGTACCACTGCGTAAAAAGCGGTGCCCTTCATCTGAAACGCCAGCCCATTCATTTCCTTGCGGAGGATTGTACAGTTCCTTGGCAAGCCTTACATTTATTTTTCCCTTATGCGTGTATGCTGAATAACACAGTTTGTGCCATTTTATTTAAGGGTTGCAGTCAGGAGGTTCATCAAAGAGGGATGATAGCCTGTCTACAGCTGTCCGAAATTCGCAATATCTCAATTTGCGCCTGAGCTGGGTGGCCTCCCTCATGGAAGAGATGCCCAGTTCCGTCTGGTTGTAGAGGGTATCTTTAGACCGACTGCTTTCCTGACATATGATGCAAAGCTCAAATGACACATCTTGGCGCTGTCGCTTCAGACTGGCAACAGGTTCCATGCTTTGATTGATTGTGAATAGAAACAAACTAAAACTAGAGCTGCGTATATACTGCCACTGAAGACCCCACTTGGTAAACACACGCCCACTGAACCTTTTCAGTAAAAAAGGCACAAGCAGTGCATCAACTAATAAACTCCTCTGGTACAGATGCCTAAAACCAAATATTTGATAGCAAAGTCTTTTTAGTACACCCTCGATCCTTCAGTCAAAATCAGTATGGCAAATGGCTTCTATGTATTTTTTTCACTTTCGCCTTCCCTCCTCATGTTATCTTTTTGACACATTATCAGATGGGGTTCCTACCTGTTCCTGGGATTCCCTGAACTGTTATGTGGTTAACTATTTTGCTAAAATCATTAATCAAGCTTACTGCGTGAATGTTAGCAATTTCCTTTCTCATGCATGTGAAGCAGTATGAAAGCATTCATGTGGCATACATATAAAAACGCCTATCGCATCCTGCATTGACATTAGAAGTTATTATGCAAATTTTGTGATGTAAACAGTTTACCTGGAATATGATTCTGTCATCAAAATGAAAAGATTCAGCCTTGCTTTGCATTTTTGAGTAAAAGAGTGACTGTAAAATGTAGCACTTCACGCAAAAATTAAAAATCGCTCCGTAAGGGAGATATTTGCCAAAATACGATTTTTTTCCATCAGCATTTCTTTGAAATCCATCAATTTGAAATGCTGTGGTAACATTTTTATTCAATATATTGTAAAATGAGTTAATTGTATGGCTAGAGAATGATAAATGAAACACTTTTTAGAAAATTTTGGATTTTGCACTCATTGACCTTTTACCCCAATTACTGATCTAATTAGGCATTTTTGAGCTTAGCAAACAACAGATTCGTACTCAGCACGAAAAACTACCCCAGAATAGGTGGTTTGCTTGCTTTTACTCGAAAATGCCTCATGCATCCTTAAAATCCACATTTCTGAGAAATTTGACTAGTCTAAAATGGAGAGGGTTAGAATTGACAACCCATGATTGTACTAAGAGGCGACTAACAGGTTCGGGGGGTCAGACTCGCTGACTTAGTTGACAGTTACAGTTTGTATATTCTCAGAAGATTCCACCAACGGTGGTGCATGAGAAAAGTACAATATAAATTCACATATGATAATATAATCAAGCATATAAGGTAAATACATATAGGGAGTGATATTTTCAATGAAATATGACAGAATTAAGTTTACATGAGTCATACAGCTGCGGCACATTTCATCGCATCCCCACTGCATAGATCGATGCTCATGCTGTTGATCACTGGAGTGTCTGGTCCAGACTCGATTATTTACAGACTGTCGCCACATACCTACAATATTGCTGAGTGCGGCGTTAAACAACAAACAAAGACATTTTAAAATCTATGTAAAACTAGAAGAGTTATACGATAGTCACTAAATCTGCTTCAGGCAATGACTGACTGACTGAGTTTGGTTTTACGCCGCTTTTAGCAATATTCCAGCAACATCACGGCGGGGACACCAGAAATGGGCTTCACACATTGTGCCCATGTGGGGATTCGAACCCGGGTCTTCGGCGTGACGAGCCAATTTTACGCTTTAACCATTAGGCTACCCCACCGCCCCTTCTTGCAATGAAGTCCTGAAGCTCTTATATAGGTAATGTCAAGATGTCATGGTCAACATTGTCAGGGTGGGACAGAGGTCGTAGTTCACAATCTATCAACGCATGCACCTTGTATATGTGTAATGAAATAAACTCACGGGCTTTTGTAATTAGGTGGTGTCATATCTTGATCCGAGCCGCCATACATTCTGACAGTCAACACATGCATGGCCATCCGCATTCCTCCATTCATTAAATGATGAAATATCTTCAGACAGTTGAAATTATACTGGCTGTCCATACGCTATGTATTTGAGAAACAGAACAAATGACATACATGTGAAGAGCGAATTTCCGTTAACACCCGCAGTATGCTGTTCCAAGCAAGTCGAGGTTTTACAGTTTTCGTTATGATAGAGATATTTCGGATTAACGGGGTTTCGTTTTATAGGTATATATCTGTGTATCTGTTTCGTGATAAGACTGTTTACCAGTTTAAGTGCGATGTTCTCTTTTATCCCGAGTTTCTGATTTGATAATGGGTCAATGCCGAGCAGTTGCCGACAGTCAGACCTCGTACGGATGGTACTGTTTTCTGGAAATCACCGAACATCACCGAGCCTACCCGAACGGTTGTGAGTGAAGGCAACTCGCGCACGGTTATATATACAGGAGCTTCCAACACGATGTCTGGTTTTCTGAACGAACAGATCGGATTAAAGAGGTTTCAGTGTTGTAGGTTACTCATGCAGTGCTAACTGTCTTTAGCAGAGAGAAAACGACTCAATTTGGAAGGCAGCAGTTGGGTAACCACACTTGACGAATGTCGCAAGCGTTCCTATATGCATGACTCATTAATCGACAGGCAACATCCTGCTGTGCATGCACTCTCTGATCAACTTTCATTCATGTCAGGTCATTTGATAAAGTCTTGCAATATATCTATTTTGGATTATTATGTATATCTTTACTGATTCGGTAGAAATAAAATTGAACAACGGGGAGAGTTCTATGGATATGCAACTTCTTTATTTTTAATGTAAGCAGATCTAGAGACTATATATATTATATGGTCTCTGATGTAAGCGACGTTCGGTGTAGCTGCTAACCTTATTATCAAACAAGTGATAACGGTGTATACACCGAAACGTGGCTTACATTAATAATAAAGAAGTTGTATATTCAAAGTTCATTCCCCGTTATTCACCACACCAACTTTTATAAATGCCACTGAAAGTAGAGATTGTTATACATTATATTTACTCTCTTTATATCCACGAGGCAATGTTATAAATAGTTTTTAATGTGCTGTGTGATAATAACTGCAACGCACTAGGATGGTCAGTATTTCACGTCTGTGAATCACAAAGGCCTTACGCAAGTCGTTTAGAACACATGTCACTGTTTATGAATAGATTGATAGTTGAAAGGGTGTATGTTGTGAAAGAGAAAACTCACGTGACTCAATCTGGCCAATCAGTATTACCGTGTATTTTTAGGTCATTTTGGGCGCTTCGCCTTGAACTCCGTACAGTGGCTGGACGTGACAAGCGGCCATCAGGAGTTAGCGACCTTTTAGTAAACAAATGGTTGGTCGTTCGTTCAACACGCTACGTGTTTTATTCAATGTTATAACAATTACTGACACCAGGACGGATCGGACCTGTTGCAAACTGGATCAACAACAGTAATCTAACACGCCCAAACATGGAACACACCAACCTCGTAATAAGCCTTGGAATGTGAACAGCGTGTAATTATAAACCATTCAAGGTCGGGATTGGAAACGTGGTACACGGGATTTGGATAATCGTGAACACAGAATGGCTGACAGCCTTACCCTTGGTCATTTCAGACGCTTGTCAGATAGTTCTGCAGACAAGGCTGTTATGGAAATGGCGAACCTGATCACAAACCCAGGCGATGTACCAGGGGCGACTCTCCCAGCCTCGGGTATGAAGCGCACCGACAGTTCCGAGGCACTCAATCTTACCCTACACCAAGTGAGTATCGTAGATATAGTTTGTCGTCTGCTCAAACTTAGGGACCGGTCGTTTCATGGTAGGAAATGCCGGATATGTCGGAGTCCACATTTAATCTTTTATTCCCTTTTTGAATACTACACAAATGGTTATATGAACATTTAGGTGTTTTACTGTAGTACCTTCTTAGGGACCATTCATAATTTATGGATAGGGGGTGTGTGTACCACGTGTGTGATGATGATTTGTATGGAGAAGCATGTACAATGTGAATGACCCCCCATGTCATATACATAATCAATGACCCCGCCTCCTCTTCCCATAATTTTGTAAGCATAATTTTTAACATATTTTTATTTACAAAATTGATGACCGCCTAGTACGTGTGTAACCCCCTCTCAAGCCATAAATTATGAACGGTCCGTTATGTTTATTCTGTAGTATTCATATTTCAATGGCAACTTGAGGAAAAATCATGTATAGATCCCACAAGTATTAATTAAATACTTACAGCAGTGTAGGTACAAGATCACTTTGTTTCTTATGAGAAACTTTTTGGAATTAGTTAAAATATAATTTGAAAATATACTGACATTTGAATGACGATGTTTAAAACAGAAACATGATTAATGTTCTCAACTTCACTATTAATAATAATAATATGTACATTTTTATATCGCATCTATTCATACAGTAGTTTGCTCTGTGCGATGCTCACTGTATAATCATTATAATTAGGAGCACATTTGGTGCTTGTGACGTGAGTCTATCCGTTCATTGCAACATGTAACTGTCAAGGAACAGGTTTTGATTAACATGATAAAGTGTCAAGTGAATTAACGCTAGAAGTGAATGACGTTTCATTTGTTGTAAATATCAGTGCTAGCTTTGTTGAAAATGAATATGAATCCAGTAGCGTGAAAACTAGATATTATTGCACAGTGAATAGTACCCAGCTCAGCTGACCCACTTAGAGCCTGCACTGTATGGGTTTGAAATTGATTCTGTGTACAATAATTAGCATGTTAACGTCTCTCCTGGGCGTAAAGCACTTCTCCATAATGGCATAATTACTAAAATATATTAGGGAAATTATATGAGGAGTAGTTTATTTGAGATGTCTTCCAATATCATTCAGTTTTAGAAATAATCTTATTTCAAAGATAGCATTGGTATAGAAAAAAAATTTGGTGTTTTAAGAGTGTTAAAGTTATATCACAGACATTTGGAGAGGTCTTGTTATCTAAACACTGCACTTTGCTCAAAATAATATATACTGAGTGGGTCATATATTGGTCATGTTGATATACAATATATGACTTTAAACTGAGTTAATATTGATAATAGATAATATCGGCAGATCTAAATTAACAGATAAGTTTGAAATTTTAATAACATTTTAGTTCTGATGTAGTTATTGCCAGCAGCACTGTTAGCTGGCATCTGTTACTTTGTGTCTGCTGACTTTCTATGGAAAATCTTTACAGTAGATGTCAAAGCTTATGGCAACTGCAAGAGTTGTATATATATAGTTAGTGATTATAGATTTAACTGTTGTTATTCAAGTGGGTCAAATTACATGAGAAAAGAGGCCCATTTGGGTTTGCTGCCTTCAGTCGCCTAATTATGTTTAGGCTGTTTATGAGACAATTTCTTTTCCGGATGATGTAGGATCCGGCTCTCTCCTTTGAATTTAGACTGAACACTTTTGGATATAACCTCATCATTAATTGTTCTTAATAAGTCCAAAACTATTTGTAGCTTGTCCTTAATTGCCTTTAGCTTTTACACTTAGATCAAATTAAATTCCAGTTACAAAAAGATTTTCTAAGGGAGAAGCATGTGTAACAGGGAGCACGTGTTTCGTTTCATGCAGACATTTTACTTCGGGCGCACGGCCTAAGCTTCCTCCGGGTGTTGGTCGTTAACTTGCGTTAGTAACTGTACCTTTTGTTAGTCGTGGGTGCAGGAAATGTATTTCCTGCGAGGTTTAGGTATCATAGCATAGCTCAGAAACTACAGGCTCCCTTACACAAAAATCCCTGAATGAGTGAAACTACTCCCTTATTGGAATATAAAACATTATAACTATCAAATAGACTGATGGTGATAGGTTGACAAAAGGTTACACTTCATAGTGTTGTATGCTCATGATAAGGGTCTTAGGCACACCAGAAATTTTAGATTTTCTTTCCATTTCTATTTTTTTTGGATTATGTTCAGGTATTAGTCATTTTTGAGTGAAAGAATGATGTAGATAGACGATATAATATGTCACAGTGTTTTGGTGTATAAATGAACATGATAGTGTAAATATCTGTTTTGATTGAAAGAAGGAAACTGAGATAAATGACTGTAAATGTATGCTTTTTTTCAATTTTATTCTTATTCATGAGCAGTTACTACTTGAACTTGAAGGATGCTGATAGAGATTTCAGTGAATGTAAGATATTCTGGAATAGGTCTTCAGCAATCCATTACTAATTGTAAGGGACTAACAGACCTGGTGACTTGGCTGATGCATGTTGTTGTATCACAGCTATATTTATCAATGCTCCTTAGGCCAGACCAATTTTATTTCTTGTTTTGTCCTCAGAAATCCTAAAGGCAGGAAGAATAAAAAAAATAAATAAAAATCACCAGTCAAAGTAATATTCCTTTTAAATACTATAAGTATTTTACTTTTGACAACTTATGAAGTGTATATAGGTGAAAAAACAGTCTAAAAACATTTTCTAGCACATTTACATTTTTGGCCAATAGAAATATTCAAATTTTATTTTTTGAGTGAGAAAAATTAAGTTTTAGTTTTTTTCTTAATCTTGAAAAAATACCACTGGCAGATCCCTTAAAAATAAAATAAAATTGGTCTGGCCTTATTTTAATAACCATATTCTCTGGGCCAGACTTGATTGTTTACAGACATCCATTATTGGAATGTTAGTTAATGCAGTGTTTAATAACAATGTTGATCAATAATCAATCCCTATTTGATTTTCTCAAACCAGTTATTTATACTGAATAATAAATATTCATCCTGTTTTTTTTCAAACCAGTGTGCCCGTGATGGAGACGAGACAAACATGAAGATTGTGCTGAAGAACATCAGCGGCCATCTCAAGAAGAAAGTGAATGCACTAGATGATGAAGACCTGACCCCATTGCACTATGCAGCTCGCTACAACCATCTCAGTGTTGTCAAGTTGTTAGTGGATGCTGGAGCAGGTATTGTTATGAAGCGTGACTCTGATGTTCTATGTATAGTTTGACTCAAAAGTGGACTGAATTGCAATCTAACTCGAAAACTAATAAACATATAATACTCAATGAAATGCTGATCATAATCAAATCAGCAGACCGACTCTGTTAGTTTTTTGCTGAATTTATGCCCTAAAAAGAAAAGTTGTTTAACAAACTATCATTAAAATTTTGACACAGTTCACAATCTGTTACAAGGGAGGGGTGCAAAGAGAAGAACAGCCACTGAGCCAGGTGTATGCGAGGCATTAGTCTGTCTCACAGTCCCTGAACCACATTAATTTCCCTACTGCCAAGCCATCTCTGCAGTGCTAAAGCCCTAAATAAAGCAAGTCTAGATTTCCTCAGGTTCAGGAATCTCTGGTCTCCCTAGGACTTCTTTTCAATTTAAATGGGCTTGTTTGTTACTATCAAATCTGAATCTCTGGTCCTTCTAGGGCTCCTTTTCAATATAAATAGGCTTGTTTGTTACTATCAAAATTATATATATTCAGAGACTAAGCCTTAGTCTAGCGAGGCATGTGCACAAGTGCGGACAGAGTTACTGATTCATTTACTTGTGCTGTGCAGTCTCCATCCTTTCTCACACACTTGGCTGTTCCTCTCTTGCACTCCTCCCTCGTAACAAATAGTGAACAGTGTCAATAGTTTAATGATAGTTTGTTAAACAACTTTTATATTTTTAGGACATTGGTCTGATCTTTTGATTATGATCAGTGTTTTGTTGAGCATTATATGTTTAGTAGTTTTCGAGTTAGATTGCAATTCATCAGTCCACTTTTGATCCAAACGGACTATACTGGCAAACAAGGATAAGTTGAGCACCGACTTGACAATTGACCCGTATTAGCACGTATGAGTGCAGCCCACTGGCATTTGCCATTGTGAGCAAAGGGGTCCTAGGTTGTCTGCCATCAAGTGTAGTGCGATGTGTGAAGAGAGAGATAACTGGTGGCATTGCTAGCTTTTAACAGTACCTGTTTCGTAGATGTACATTCTTTCTCCATGTACTTAATCGTATTGTATGCCACTTCTCGGGTCTGAGAATGTATTATCTGACCGTGCTTACCTAACTTCGAAATACAGTTGAAACCTGATAAGTAAAATTTCAAGGGACTCGCCAAAATTGTTTACTTATCAGGTATTTTACTTATCCAAACTTATAAAAACCTGCAAATGACAACCATATGCATGTATATGTACACATATGGAACAATGAACAACTTATCAGGGCTGGCTTCCAGTTGTCTGTGTATTGTCAAGTGCTTCACGCCAGCGAGCTGTAAGTAGGATGTTTGTTTGACTGGAGACTGACACGACTGCCCCTCATGTCGGATTATGTGGTGATCGCTAATATAGTTATCAGTCTCTTTTGTTAAGTAATTTACTTCCAGGGACCGTGAGAGACGTTTAGTTAAGCGGTATTGTTTACTTATCCGAGTTTAGTTAACCAGACTCTAATAGTGATAATTAATGAAGAAATTTGCCGGGACCAAAGAAAAGTGTTTACTTATCAGGTCTGTTTAGTTAAGCGGTCTTTACTTAGGCGGTTTCCACTGTATATATCTATATATCTGAATATTACTGACTTGCTACACCGACCTCGTGAGAGTCTTATGAGCAAAAGCGCGTGCAGCTCCGCATGGAATCAATGTAATCGTCATGCACTGCACGTGCACTAGCCTACATCTGCTCTACCTTTCACAAACCAAATGGGTTTGCTCATTGCCATGCACCGCCTACTTCACGTAAATGCGTTCTCTACACCGATCCAACGTATCCTTGTTTGCCAGTAGGTTTCTACACTTTTTAAAGGTCAGCTAGGTCCCTTAACCAGTGGAATTTTATTAAGTCTAGCTTGATTTCCATGAGGTTACACAGAATATTACACCGTTGTTGGATGTAATGGTGTCCTTAGCATGCTAATTGGTATAAATGACTTTATCAGTATTCACATGGCTAGTTGCACCAACTAGTGTGTCAAAGGTGTATGATGTTCTGCCAAGCAGAACGCTACATCTCAATCACATGTCAGGGTTATCTTAACACATGGCGCTGGGTGATGTTCCTGTGATAATCAAATGACAGAATTGGTCCTCCAACAGGCCTCATGCTGTTTATAACTGGTGAATAAAGGTTATAGGATAAGGATTGCTAGGGATATATCCAGACCTGCTCAGAGATGGATATTTGCCCCAAGCCTCTACCATATAAGTTGTAATTCACTATTTGAATTTTAAATTTACTAATACCTCAGAATTAACAAAAATAAATCTATAACAGTAAAAATATCCAATTCTGAAAATATCATGTTTTCACCGATTACTAGGGAGGTCACGATACATAAGTTTCATGAATCGATATGTATCACGATACCCATGTGACGATTCAATATGTATCACGATACCTATTTTCGCTGCATTATTGCGTAAATTTAGTTACATTTTGAACATTAATATGTCATATTTTATAATTGTCCATGAAAAGATCAACATTTTTTATTCTCAGAAATTATAAGTTCTAATTTCCCATCTTTGTGCATGAAAAATAATCATTAAAACTCTCATAACATCAAAAAACATGATACAATTGAAAAAAATATTTAAACCAATTCTCTCAAAACTAAACATCGATACAGTTTTGAATGTATCAATAATTGTATCGTCTTAGATAAAGTATTGATGCATCGATGTATCGTGGCATCCCTACCAATTACCTGCCATGGGCACTCAGTTTGGAATCCTAATTAAATTCCTGACTCAGGTGATCTTACTTTTAATATTGCTAAAGTATGCAAATTTTGATTGTCATGATATTGAAAGCACTTTGTACAATGGCACTGACTGGAGGTTAATAAGTGGTTAAGATGCAATTAAACTTTCTTAGCTAACTAAGCCATCTTTTTTGTCAGACCCGAATGCGAAAGGTGAAGATGAAGTCACCCCTCTCCACACAGCGGCCCGATATCGCCGTGAGAAGAACAAGAGGAAAGAGACCAACAGCCCAGAAGAGGGGGAAACAGCTGAGTCAAATGTGTGTAGCAGATTTCTTGTGTATTATACACAATCAATAATTCACCTTTCAGTTTACAAACTATAAGTTTTAATCAAATGCCTCAAAAACACGAGGGGAGGTGGGGTAGCCTAGTGGTTAAAGCGTTCGCTCGTCACGCTGAAGACCTGGGTTCGATTCCCCACATGGGTACAATGTGTGAAGCCAATTTCTGGTGTCCCCATGATATTGTTGGAATGTTGATAAAAGCGGCATAAACCATACTCACTCATCATTTACAAAGCATGCGGAGAATTATCTTAATACTTACATTAATATTTGTCTTTGACTGTTGTCAGATTGCAGCCAATGGCCTCCCGCAACTTGTGGAGTACCTGGAATCAATTGAAAACTCTGGAGACAGCTGTATATCATTCCTTGTCAAGAATGGTGCCAGAGTCAATGTTGTGGATATCTACGGACAAACACCTCTACATTTTGCTGCCATGAGGGGAAATGAAATTGCAGCCAGGGATCTGCTCAGTTTTAGCGATATAAATGTCGAAGTGAGTTCACTATTGATGTGTCAGGATTTTAAGATTTGGGATCATGGTAATTTCAACTCTCCTGAATAGTTTAGTATCAATTTTGACAAAGGCATAAGTGAGGTCATTTTTTGAAGATGGATCCCCTTAGAACTGTATCTCAAGCAGGTTTTTCAATAGGAACCAGTATTACCAGAGAGAGTTTTCATTCATTGAGATTAGATATGTTCCTGCTAGAGTTGATGATCTTCATTGTCAACAGTTTGTGTTGACATCTATCTGTTTACTAGTTTCTCAGCTGAGGTACAGTGAGTGCTATGTTGTACCTTATGTAGACAACACGTCAGGCTATTGGTTAAAGGATTTGTTTGCCACGCCAAAACCTGGGGTTTGATTCTTCAATAAGATATGTTTCGTTAAGCCAATTTCAGAGGTCCACATCTTGATATTGATAGAACATGCTTAACTGAAAGTGTGACTTACATACTTCTAGTATGGATGTGCTAGTCTTGAACTCATTTCACTATTTTACATTAATGTTACCTCTGGTTTTGGTAAGATTTTCATGATTTCATATGTCAATATTTTGTTTTCAGGCTCAAGACAAGCAGGGTATCACAGCCCTCCACATGGCAGCCATACACAACCAGGAGGGTGTGGCAGCCATGTTGATCGAGGCGGGTTCCAACTTGAGGTGTGTGGACCATGAACAGTCCACCCCGTTGCATCATGCATGTTCAGAGGGGAACGTTGCCTTCGTGCAGATGTTGTTTGATGCTGGAGCCCGTAGTGCCGAAGGCTGGGTCATGGTTTCTAGTGTGAGTCATTTCATTCCCAGATATAATGCATTTGTAGCGGCCATAAAATTTCCGAGTCCCGTGCTGGGATTCGAACCACGAACCTTCTATTCCGAAGTCGGACGCCTTGTCCACATGACCAAAGAGGTTAACCCGTCAGCAAGCTGACAAGGTAAGGATGTCATCTGTGGGATGACTCCACGCCCTGCTACACATTCATTCCTGATGTTGTCTTTAATGTTTATCATTGTTTACGGTTTGTACACTATTATACACAATAGTGTATTTGTAGTGTAAAGAAAGCATGATCACATCTTTACATCTCATGGCACATATAGCATGACGAACATATGTCTAACATGAAAAACCTCATTATTCATAGGCATAAATTTCTGCAATCCCAGATATGGTTTTAGCAAACATCAAAAAGAATTTTCATGTTTTGTCGCTTTTCATTTATCAAAAAAATTTAATTGGTTATTACAAAGTCTAATTGAACCAATATCTTGCCACGTGTACGGATGTATCCAGTTTTCATACTGCAGAAGTGGATTAGCCATCAAAGTGATGAAAACGATTGCGTTCGGCAAGACATATTGACTTTGTTCTTGTATCAAGTTAATGAGGATGATGTATTATGTTAACATGCTTTGTTCCTCATCCAGATGCTGACGGATCGCGATGTGGAGGAGAGCACATGCCTCCATCTGGCTGTAGACAACGGACATTATGATGTGGCTAAGCTCTGTTTGGAGAAACGTGAGTCCGCTATTAACACATCTAATATGACCTCTCTGAACAAACATCCTCGATAATCTCCAGGGTATACGTTCCGATAAATCTCCACTAGTACCCTAGATGCATCTACGACTCGGCCCGACAATTGTATTACCTCCATTTGCTGGCTTTTTATCCATTCAGGTGTCTACGCTGGGAAGTGGAGCATATCAATCACATGGCTTTTATCATAACTCACTTCCGATTCTTTGATAAACAGGAATGTTAAGAGGTAGAATAAGTTCTTGCATATGTTTTTGAAGGTTTCAGACCAGTCAATTTGTCTGTATTGCCTAAATCTGAATCGCACAGCGATCAAATCTTCGCGGGTGTCGCTGCCACCTTTGTTGACAGTGGCAACCTCTGATTGGCTACCGTGAGAAGGCAGAGCCAGCAAAGGGAGGTAATACAATTATCGAGCCAACCCATAAATGCATCGAGGGTACAAGTGGAGATTTATCAGAAGATATTCCCTGGAGATTATCGAAGATGTGTAGAAGTAACGCTTATCTGAATGCTTGATTTTTTGTAGTTTGTGGTTTGCCTGATCCATGTTAGGGACCATTCATAATTTATGGTAGGGGGTGGGGTGGGGGGTGTGTCATGATGATTTTAAGGAGGGGTCACCCATTTTGTTCTGGGGAGCTAGGGCGGTCATCACTTTTGTACACACGTATGAGTGGGGGTCATCAATTTTGTACATAAAAATATGTTTAAAATTATGCTTAGAAATAATGGGAAAGGGAGGTCATTGACTTTGTACATGACATGCGGGTGGGGGGAGGGGGTCCTCACTTATTTTGTACATAAAGTTTAGTGGGGGTCATTCACATTGTACATGCTTCTCCATAAAAATCATCATTACCCCCCTAGCCATAAATTATGAATGGTCCCTTAGATTTCCTGTTATCCTATTGCTGACTAGTGAGAAAGATTGCTGGGTGGTTTGTTAAAGCTAACATATTTCTGACTGGTGTGATACAAGCTGGAAATTGTGAAATATTGTTGACTGTTGAGCAAAACAACATTCACTCACTCCTGATATTGTCAAAGACAACCACCTTTGTGGTTACTTATAAAAAGTAAGAAGTTCAACTCTGAACACAGTGTGGGAAACTTGCAGTCAATGTAAACTTAAGCTCAGTATTATTCGTTACACTGCTATACTGAGTCTAACAAAACCTTGTGAATGGTCGCGTCAGGTAACCTTTCCAATTGACCAATCAGAACACAGCTTACCAAATCGCGAAAGTGGACATTCGCTCATACCTTTTGAACTTTTACCTGGGAAAAGTTTGTACCCGAACTTTTCCGAATGCTATTTTCCGTACGATTGGTTCCTAGTGATGCACGCCACAGCAGTGGGTAAACATTCGTTGAAAATAGCGCTTTGTCAGTATTAAAGCATGTCAACTTGCAGAAATATTAGCTAATTATAACCATGTCAACAGGAACCCCAAAGCGTATATACTGCAGGTCAAATATCAGTGTTTTATGAGGATTTTCATTTGTTGGGAGATCGGTGTTGGCGACCAGGGGACGAGAAAATTCATTTTGTAAGTCCCGCCAAACCCTAAATAGTAGTCGTTGTCTGATTAGTTAAATCCGTTTGGCCGTCTCGCCTTTGATTGGACGGTCAAGGTTACCTGATGCGACCTTCCACAAGGTTTTGTTAGACTCAGTATAGCAGTGTAACGAATAATACTGAGTCTAAGTTTACTTAGACTGGGAAACTTGGTGATTTTTATTTTCCACTTAAACACAGTTTTATGAGTATTCTGATGTTCTGCAGGTGCTGATGTGAATGTCCCACGGAAACACTATATGCATCCTCTCCATCTGGCCGCCATGTCGGGAGACATCCGCAATGTCAAGCTACTGATGGAGAACAATGCTCGTATCGACGTGTTGAATGACGAACAGGCAACACCTCTACACAAAGCTGCCCAGTTAAATCATCTGGCTGTTGTGAAATATCTTGTTGATCAGTAAGTAAGAGTTATCTTGCATGTATTGCTAGGATGACGTTACCAGTGCTGACTGGCTGAGTATGGTTTTACACTGTTTTTAGCAATATTCCAGCAATATCACGGCGGGGGACACCAGAAATGGGCTTGACAAGTTGTACTCATGTGGGGAATCGAACCCGGGCCTTCGGTGTGATGACGAGCGAATGCTTTAACCACTAGGCTACCCCACCGCCCCACCTGACCAGTGACACTCTATCACATCAAGTGAGCTTCTTGTAAGCAAGCACATCAAATTGTCAGACAGCTGGCCTTTTGATAAAATAGTTGCTAGGTGACCACTCCCCCTTAGTTGATTAAAAGTAGTATTGGCTTTCTGTTGATTATCCATTTCTTGGATCAGTGTAGTGCAGGAAGTGCAAGTTGCTGTGTATTTTGCTGGTAAACAAATTATGTTTCCATGGTAACAGGGGAGCAAAGATTAATCGACGTGACAAAGACAACTACACGCCCCTTCTGCTGGCTGTTACGTACGGTCACGTGGAAACTGTGGAGCTCTTGTTGCAGAAAGGTGCAGATTACACTGCTGTCGACAAGAATGACAAAACCATCATCTACCTGGCAGCTGAGGAAAACAAAGCTCCAGTGCTGAAGGTAAAACTGTTATTCATGGTGATTTACTTTTGGTAAAATTCCAACTGATTTGTACTTTGCAAATATTCTAGGAATAATATTATTAGAACTCATAAACAACCATGCCTCCAATTAGAACTATTCTCAGAATTTATTCTCAGAATTTGAAGTATGTTATGACAGATTTTATATTTGGTTTCATTATTTCATGTTTCAGTAAGGTCTTGATTGGTTTATCACTAAAACATGACAAAGTATTTGTTTACAATGTGTGGTGTACATTCTGCAGTTGACTATATTTCTGTTTTTCAGAAACTGTTGTCTTACCCACAAGTGAAGCGCCTGATCAATCAAAGTGATCGCTATGACAACGATCCTCTTCATATTGCGGCTCAAAGTGGTTACAGTGAGATCTTAGTGGTGAGATATACTTTCTTCCTTCATCTCAATTTAGCAGTATATTGGCATCATAGAAAGGAAAGAATAAGGCAAGAACAGTAATAACCCTTTGGTGTATTATTAGTTTTTCAATTATTTGGTTTGCACATTTACTGTCAATTAAAACCAGGAGAGTTTTATTATTACTGCAGTGTCTGAAAACACCAGTTAGCAGTGCAAAATGTCACAAATTTTTATCATGCATGTCCTGACACAAGATAAATGACAGCAGTTTTAAATAATTGTCATCATGACACCGAATTGTGGGGGAAAAAAACAACACAATTTGAAAGTAGTTTTTTCTCAACCACCAATTTCAAGTTTTGAGAGCAAAAAAATCTGTTTCCCAGCTAAAGTGAAAAATTCCTAAAAAAGCCTAAGTCCAGTTGTATCAGAGACCATATAATATATTATTATATATATTATAATGGTCCCTGGTTGTATGCAGTGAGCACATGAGAGGAAGGGACATAACTCTGGCATCATGTTGTTTGTTTTAGGATGCTACTAAAATAAGAAAGACAACTACATGTATATGTGTATTTCACATTTGTTGGAATTGTTTTCTGAAACTCCTTTTGGGTAAATAGTTGATTTTGTCCATATTCTCTAGACATTACTGGAGAATGGCGCTGATCTTGACAGCAAGAATGAGGAAGAGCAGACGCCATTACATCTCGCTGGCAAATTCGGGAGAACAAAGTAAGTCCTTGACTTCTGTGGGAAGTGCATAGTTTTACTAAATCATGGTTCAACTCAAGTTTTTCACTTAAATGACATCAGAAAGATCACTCACCTGATGAAGTAGTAAGGATATACTCTGAAACATTGTGTTCCTCATAATAAAGAAGTTGACATCCATGAAACTCTTTTCCTTATGTGTATCACTTCTAAATGCCATTCAAAGATTTGACTGCTGTGAAATCATGAAAAACTGTATGATGTTACTTCCAGTGAAATAGTCTCCAGTTTAATGAATTAGGTACCCATTTGGTTTTTGCCATTTCTGACCAATGAACTGTTTCCTTGTTTCAGCAATGTGAGAGAGTTGGTGAAGCGTGACAAGTCATCCATCAATGACGAGGATGAGAACTCCAACACTCCTCTTCATCTGGCAGCCATGCAGGGACATGACAAGGCAGTAGCACTCCTCCTGGAGTTTGGAGCAGACGTTGCCAGCAGGTATGTGGCGTCCCGTGGCCTGTGTCCTTACAGTCAGAAGTGTTAATTAGCAGTCTCTGTTTTGAAAAATCACCTGTCTCTCAAACATTTAATGCAAGGCCAATTATATTTTGGTGGTCAGATTTTCGTTTTCAGCATTCAAATTTCAGGAAACAAATTAAATGTTATATAAAAGAGTTCAAGGATTGGTTTTGGCTATGTCCAGCGGAAAAGATTATGGCGTGTCTCTCTCATACACACATGAACAGCTTGCATCCCAGGGTCCTGATAAATACTTTGCAGGTTCAAGATCAGATAAATTTCTGCTTCCTGTTCTCAGTAACCTATTTCTCACGTACCTCCAGCTTGTCGGCTTTAATTTTATTTTCCATAAACCCTCATAAACAATTTTATTTTGAACACTTGTCTTGGAAACTGATAGGTTGAACTCCTCTCTGAGAAATTAGTTTGGTTGAATCCAGCCCTTTCTTAGAAACTAGTTTAAACTACTTTGGGTAACTCCTTTGTGAGAGACTTCTTCTGACATACCTCTTTCCCTTGATTCCAGGAACTACAGTCAGTGGACACCACTGGATCTGGCTGCATCCAAGGGATGGATGAAGACGTGCCGAATCCTCCTGGAAGATGATGCACCCATTGACCCCATGGACAAAAACCAGGTCAGTCTTCCTTAGCTTGTGCATGTACAGGGATCAGGGACCCTAGGCGGTCTTAGTGATACTAGTGTTGTAACAAGACTGTTAAGAAATGGAAATTATGATCACCTAAGTGCTACAATTTCTTTGTGGAATGGGGCTTAGGGCCACCTAAAATTGTCCAAAGAGTACTGTGGGATATTGCTGTCCCTTAAGGATTGATCTTGTTAACAATAAGATCAATTGGAAGGTTATGAATCTAAAAGTAGCGTAATATTTTAACAGTATGGTGTCAAATTGCAGTAACGCATCATTGGTGCATATTGATATGAATTACTGCAAGAAATATAAATCACTCAACAAAACATAGGACACACTGTCAAAAGCATTAAACTCAGTTCACAGGATGTAATCTATGAATCTGGTTCAAGATAAGATTCGGGTCAGTGGGGTAGCCTTGTGGTTAAAGTGTGTGCTTGTCACCATGGTCATGTAGCAGCATAATTCCTGCATGGGCATAAGCTCGTTTCTGATATCCCGTTTAGTATATTGCTGGGATATTGCTAAATTAGTGTAAAACCCAACTCACCCATTCATATAATGTGATTCAGAGGGCTGAACACTGCTTCAGTCAAAAAACGCTTGAAATGGATAAAGTATCAATGTATTCCAAGCATTTTTGTGCATGTAAAGATTTCTTGGAACAGTTAATGTTAGACATCACATAGAAAATGTACATGCATCTACTAATTGTGGGTTATATTTAAGGTGTCCCTGCTGGGATATATGCCAGCAGCATTTGTCACTCACTGACTCACCCACACACACACTCACTCTCTCTCAATGTTTATTGCAGACCACTCCTCTTCATCTTGCGTGTCGCAATGGTCACGCTCCGGTGGTAAGCCTGCTCCTTGAATGGGATGCAGATGTGACATTGCCAGACTCTGATGGTCTAAACAGTCTTGATATTGCCATTGAAAACCACAACATGTAAGTTCAACCTACTTGTTAGCTTATTAGTTGTCCCCCGCCGCAACGCGGAACGGGGGACTATGTATTCAGCGGCGTCTGTACGTACGTCCCGATTCTTGTCAACGCGATATCTGATGAACTGTTGTACCCAATGTCTTCAAATTGGGGGATGACGCAGACACCAGTCAATTTGGGTGACCTTGACCTTATTTTCAAGGTCACCACGACACATTGACCACTTTTCAAACTCTTGTTAGCGTGATATCTCATGAACTGTTGTACCCAATGTCTTGAAATTTGGTGACAGCCTACATTAGGGGAGTATGCAGACATCAGTCGATTTGGGTGACCTTGACCTTATTTTCAAGGTCACCACGACACTGACCACTTTTCAAACTGTTGATAACGTGATATCTCATGCACTGTTGTAACCAGTCTCTTCAAATTTGGTGACAGCCTTCATTGTGGGATTACGCAGACACCAGTTTATTTTGGTGACCTTGACCTTATCTTCAAGGTCACCACGATACTTTGACCACTTTTTAAAAGCGATATCTCATAAAACATTGCACCCAATGTTTTCAAGTATGTTGACAGTCTACATTGGGTAATTATATGCAGACACCAGTCATTTCAGGCATCTTATATGTGACCAAAAAATTAAAAGTTAATGTTTCAGTCTGATTCTCCCTTGCGGAATCCCAATTACTACAAATCCCAACAGCATGTGTCAGAATTTACCCAGTGCCTGCTAATATTTTGCTGTTAAAGAACACATACTTCAGCTGGAAAACAAAATGATGAGGAACCAGCTTGGAGCAGTAACTCTGACAGTGTTTGAATGAGTGTTACTCTTCATGCAATTAAATTTTATGATGAAATTAAGATAAAATTCTATTTATGTACACTGTTATTTAATTTATGTGGAATCTGCATTTCAAATTCAATTTTATTCTCTGCATAAGACATGGCATGGTCCTGAATACTCTCTAAATCACCCTCAAATCATGCATTCCAGAATTGGGCTAGCAACCTCAGTTGAAAATTATTGTCATTATTATTATTATTTTTTATTATTATGTTTTTATCAGTGATGTTGCCATGGTGATCATCAACTCTGAAGTGTGGGAGGATGCATTGCGACATGCATCACTGGACCTGGTCACAGGACAACTGGACACGCCCATGAGGAAACTCATTAGGAAGATGCCAGGTTTGACTCATTCCATTTGTGTTTGGCACAAGAGCAAGTCTATCTGAGCATGTTCAACTGTGTTTGGAACAGGCCTGTAAATAGAGTCAGTTAGATGTTTGTTTAATAAGAGTAGGCTTTTTATTCTGAATTGTACCCTTCTGTTAGTATCTTTTCCAGTTGATCAGCAATTATTTTTCATTAACCAGATGTTGCTGAGCGAGTGTTTGATCGGTGCCTGAGCTATGGAGCTGAGAAGAATCCCGGGCGACCTGAATATGAAATCACGTTCAACTATGAGTTCTTGGATGATGTTTATGCAAATTGGCTAGACACAAAGAGAGAGTCCACCAGCGAATCTGGATCAAGTTCAGGTGTGTTAGTCTCTTTGATTCAGATAGATGGTGTGTGTGTGTTGGGAGAGGAACCAAGCATGGTATTGCAACTCTTTCAAAGCAGAGCAACCTTGACAGAACTGGCTTCACATACTCTACCAAATTGGTAATCTGAGCAATATCTTTATAAGCGTGGACACCAGTTCTCCAAAAAAGACTCGCCCCCCCCCTATTGATCAGTGTATGTGCAGAAACAAACTGGTCACAATGCACTTCCGACTAATTAATTTGGTCATAGAATTTTCGTTAATCATTTATTGTGTAATGTTTTGTTAAAAAAGTAAACGGACATGAGATGGAAGGGTGTTAATACTACTGATCATAAGCTAAGTTCCCATGTCATTGTAAATGATCATCATATTGCAATTGCGTAAATCGATACTCATGGTGTTGATCACTGGATTCTCTGGACCAGAATTATTTATTATGGCGTTAAACAACAAACATTGTAAATGGCAACTCTACTGTTGAAATATATCCACGTAAGCCTTGTGGACATGTCACATGCTGTCATTTTATCACAAATCACATTCTATGTCCACCATATGATCAGGAGACATGTTAGATATTACTTTCCATTTGCTTTCACAACACCATGTTGAGGCATAGTGCTCGATAACTTTATTACTGTATTTGTACTAGACAGCAGGACACCTTTGATTGGAATATTTCTACATCAGTTCATTAACAGGGATGAGAATTTTCCGTGGATCTGCGGAATTATGTGGACTTGATCTTGCTGGGACCATTAGGTCACATGGGGTCATGCGTCCCCCAACACCCCTGGCTCATTTTCCTCATTTTTCAGTCAAACTCATTCTCATCCCTGCATTAAATTTAGTACAACTGTTTTCATCAACTTTTTCACCTTATTTCAATAATGATGAATTTTGTTGAAGGAGGTCCCACTTCAAATTCAAGTGAGAATTTTTGTAGATGTGTATCTCACAAGTCTTCTTGTTCATTAGAGTACTGTAGTCAAAGTTAAATAACTTTGCAATGTTTTGCAAGTGGGACTGATTGATATGTGCTAGTTATTTCCAATTTCTATTGAGAAATAATGACGAAAATGTAATTCAGCTTGTAGAAATATGGAGAAAGCAGTAGTATAAATTTGTTTCATTCCTGTAGATCTAGATCTACACCTGTTCTTGATATAGTAGTCCCCAGTCGACAGATTCCTAATAAGGTGTCTTAAACACATTAACCTTTTTGGAAAATTTCTTATAGCTTGTAGGTAAATGTAAATGCATAACAGTAGTTACCTGTTTTTACCAGTTTTTCTGAATTTGTAACTATGTTGACAATTTGTTAACTGTCACTTTGAGCATGTTGAGCCTTGGATCACTGATGTCACATCTAATATGTGTTCACGATGACCTGTTCATACTAAACCATTACCTCAGGGACCGTTCATAATTTATGGCTTGGGGTGGGGGTGGGCGGGGGGTGGTGATGATGATTTTCATGGAGAAGTATGTACTATGTGAATGAACCCCCACCCCCACCCCAATTTATGTACAAAGTAAGTGACCCTGCCCTGTATGTCATGTACAAAATCAATGGCACCCCCCTCCCTTCCCATAATTTTAAGCATAATAGTTAAATATTTCTATGTACAAAATTGCTGACCTCCCCTAGTACATGCGTAGAAAATGATGACACCCCCCTCTCCTCCCCAGAACAAAATGGGTGACCCCTCTTTAAATCATCATCATCATCACACACGCACGCACGCACACACACACGCCATAAATTATGAACGGTCCGTAAGAACATGTGTATCATCCATGTCGTCCCATTTCATTTTGTAAAATTGAGTCAGAGTCACAATGTAAAGTAAATATACGGCCATGTCGCATGACTTTCAAAATATTTGCTAACATTGGGTGCTGCAGACTTATTAGACTTCACTTAAATATATTTTTGCATGGTCCACCTTAGTGTATGGTTTTCAATATATATGATGATAAAAACATATAAAAATATCATGATTCTTACTCGAAATGTGATTTGCAGGTTTTGGTGTGTATGACGAAGATGACAGGTTACTGGCAGGTGCCACGCCCTACACTTCGGACTCCAACATGCTCAAGAAGAACCACCCTCTCATGATAATGGTAGGCAAGCATGTTGATGAATGAGAAAGTAAGACACTGAATGGTTGTGAATGACCAGCTGAATAGATGTGAATGTACCCACTGAATGAGATGCATGTAAGCTTAAACTGGGATGAATATATTCTAAATGGAGATGTGGGAATGAATGACCCACTGAATGGGGATGAATGACCCACTGAATGGGGATGAATGACCCACTGAATGGGGATGAGTGATCCACTGAATGGGGATGAGTGACCCACTGACAGGGATGAATGACCCACTGAATGGGGATGAATGACCCACTGAATGGGGATGAGTGACCCACTGACAGGGATGAATGACCCACTGAATGGGGATGAGTGACCGACTGACAGGGATGAATGACCCACTGAATGGGGATGAATGACCCACTGAATGGGGATGAATGACCCACTGAATGGGGATGAATGACCCACTGACAGGGATGAATGACCCACTGAATGGGGATGAATGACCCACTGAATGGGGATGAATGACCCACTGAATGGGGATGAGTGACCCACTGAATGGGGATGAGTGACCCACTGACAGGGATGAATGACCCACTGAATGGGGATGAGTGACCCACGGGATGGGGATAAATGACCCTCTGAATGGGGATGAATGACCCACTGAATGGGGATGAATGACCCACTGAATGGGGATGAATGACCCACTGAATGGGGATGAGTGACCCACTGACAGGGATGAATGACCCACTGAATGGGGATGAGTGACCCACGGGATGGGGATAAATGACCCTCTGACAGGGATGAATGACCCACTGACAGGGATGAATGACCAACTGACAGGGATGAATGACCCACTGAAAGGGGATGAATGACCCACTGACAGGGATGAATGACCCACTGAATGGGGATGAATGACCCACTGAATGGGGATGAGTGACCCACTGACAGGGATGAATGGCCCACTGAATGGGGATGAGTGACCCACTGGATGGGGATAAATGACCCTCTGACAGGGATGAATAACCCACTGACAGGGATGAATGACCCACTGAAAGGGGATGAATGACCCACTGAATGGGGATGAATGACCCACTTAATGGGGATGAATGACCCACTGAATTGGGATGAATGACCCACTGAATGGAGATGAATGACCCACTGAATGGGGATGAATGACCCACTAAATGGGGATGAATGACCCACTAAATGGGGATGAATGACCCACTGAATGGGAATGAATGACCCACTGAATGGGGGTAAATGACCCACTGAAAGGGGATGAATGACCCACTGAATGGGGATAAATGACCCACTGAATGGGGATGAATGACCCACTGACAGGAATAAATGACCAAATGAATGGGGATGAATGATAAAATGAATGGGATGAATATATGAGCCAAAAATGTGGTACCTAAGACTTGGTTGGCTCATATAGAGAGCTGTATAACAAAGAGATTTGGGGAAAATTTGGGTATTATCTAAGGTAAGGTTCAGGTGCATTCAACATTGGTGTTGTTATATCTCTAGGTGACGTCGAGTCGAGAGGACCTACTGGCTCACCCTCTTGTCATGTCCATGTTGAACCACAAGTGGAACACATTTGGCAGTGTATTCTACTACCTCTTCTTTCTTCTCTACCTGGTGTTCCTAACGTTCCTCACGGCATATATCATCGAGACCAGACCACCCTATAAATTGTAAGTCCAGACAACAAAATATCCTCAGTTAACCATGACCTACAGTCTGTTTGGGTTCAAATGAGAATGATGAATGTTTAAATAACTCGAAATAGGGATAAGTGCACAAAGCATAAATAAGACAATGGTTCTAAAACCTCTGTACCCAACAGGATCTAAAATCGGACATTTTATGATCGATCACGGAAATAGTTGTTTAAGAAACTATCATGTAACATTGTTCTATTTTCACTCTTCACACTGAAGGGTGACAAATGGCTGATGGAACAGCGCCAGCATGCACCTCGGGTGCAACTCAGGACAGCCCCTACTAGTCAGGAAACGGCTGGCGCTGTTCCACCAGCGGTTCCTCGGTGTGAAGCGGACTGTAGTGATCAAGCAGTCCATGATATGTGTTGCTTGTTGTCCTTTTTACCCCACTCAGCAGTTTTGGACAAAACTAGTCTTTTGCTACATATGTTACATTTGGGTTTACTCTCTTGAAGTCTAACATTTAGTTCCTTTTTGATCTGCATTGTGTATTCAAAAACAACTGTATTGTTCGAAGTTTTGGTGACTCATTTCACTGAACTAATCCTTTTGTAAAGACAGACTAATTTCAGACGTGCGAGTATCTTCAGATTGTTGTGTTCTTGCATTGGGATATTCAGCCGAACAGTGAGATGACATGGCTCCTCTTCTACATTGAGCAGTTGTGGTTATTTTCTGTTCCAGTAATTCCACTGATGCCGATGCCATTGCCTCAGGATCATGTGACCAGCTGACTACGTCATATCAACAGCCATTGATTTCTGTCATAGCTAAATATGTCATAATAGGATTAGCAGCCTTCAACTTGTTGAAAGAGGTGATGTTATGTTGACATACTATATGCTCTAGATACTATAGGAAATATTACCTTTATTTCTCTCTGCTATTGAGGAATATATGGAAACACAGAGCTACATTTAACCTTTTGGGTCAATGAGTTATGTACTCACTTGTGTTCATCTCAACTGGGTACCCTAATTTTCCTTTGAGTAACCAAATATATTGTACACACCTCACTCAAACTCAGTTAGGTATTTTGCTATTTTACATTAATTGTAAAAATATAATAAAGTTTATAGTGTTTGCTATTTATATTTGATCTGTAATGTGAGAAACAATAAGTCACTGACATGCAAGCTAAAATGTGACATTTTTGTGTGTATGCATATAAGATCAAATTTTTTGAGTATTTACACAGCTTCAAGCGTACTTGTATGCAAAAGACTTAATAGGAATTGAGTTCTCAAATAAATATTTGCGTAATTTATGCAGATACTCAGATTATCTGTACCTCAGGAAATATTTCTTTGAAATCTCTCTCTTAATATTTTTTTAAATATGCCCCTGAATTCTCTCTGTCCCAGGGCTGCATAAGCCAGCCTCGTGGATGGTATTAAAATCAGTGAGTGGATTGTGTGCTTCAGACGCACGTATTTACAGAACACTGTAATATGGCTGGATTATTGCTGTGTCCAGTGTTAACAGCAAACACACAGACTCACATACAGACAGACAGATACAGATGTTGATAGCGTGGTTGGTTAGTATAATTAGGCCCCAAACCTAGACAGATTCAGATAAAAACAGACACACATGCTGGCGGCCATTTTTCTTAGAAAAATGGGTCATACAAAAAGAAGAAATTCTACAGAAATGAAATAGGATAATCAACAACAGACACACACACAATTCCTATGTATAGTTTCTGATATATATTCTGTATATATTGTGTAATACTATAATGCAATGTAAGCATGTTTGTTTCAGCTACTACAAATCTATCAAGCCAAGCTGTCATACCTTGGCTGGACAAATCTGATTGAGTGGATTACCTATGTCTCGGCTCTACTCCTTGTGGTTGACTTCAATGATTGTCAGAAGGACACAGGCTACAGACTGGTGAGGACAATGTCATCCTTCTTGACCCGGAATATCAGATGCGGCGGACTCACTTGATTTGCCAAAACGCATCTATGAATATATGCTGAAATTGTTGGTTTCTAATTTCACATTTTTGTGATTACGATTTCCTGCTTTGTCAGTGCTGTACCATAGCTTGTGGGTTTCACCCAATAGGCTCTCCTCACAATTTAAACTTATGTACTTGTAGATGTTTGAAAAACTTCATAAAATTAAAAGGAAGAATGTGAGTATCCCTTCTGGGAATTGATAAAACCACTCATTATACTTTTGGATATTTTGGAGTAAATTGTCATGACATGCACATTATAAATTGCATATATTACAAAGCTCACAATAAACAAAAAAATTGACATTGCTTTACACAACATTCTGCATCAATTGTGGGCAATTTGTTTACATGAGTTCATCAAACTTATATGACATTCCTCAGTAACAACAGCAGCTGTGTGAATGCTTAACACTGGTCATATGTTCAAAGGATTGCAAAGACTCATATAACCACGCTTTGAAAGTGTGTGTTCATCATCGGTCTCCTTTGAATGTGTTATGTAAAATTTCCCCCATTTGGTGTAATGGAAGTGTGATCACATGTGAAACAGTTGATGAAGATTGCAAATTACATCATTCAAATGAACTGATAATCACTCCATGCTGTACTATGGCAGATATACAGCCTTTTGTGTTACTTTTTGCTGAGGTAACCAAAGGCAGGGTTGCTTACATCACTTTCGTCACACCTTTAAGACCAGGGTTCAACACTGGCATTTATTTGGTGACACATTTATTTCATGATGAACAGTATTTACTGTTATAGTGTTGATCCATATCTTGATCTATATGGTGCCATTTTCATAGAGTGAGTGAGTTAGTTAGTTTTATGCCACTTATAGCAATATTCCAACAATATCACTTCAGGGTACACAAGAAATTTGCTTCACACATTGTACCCAGGTGGGGAATCCAACCAGGATCTTTGTCATGACAAGCGAACGCATTAACCACTAGGCTACCCCGTCATATTCAGTGAAATGTCCTGTGTAAATAGGTAGTCTTTACAAGCAGCACTGCCCTGGCCAGCAAGAATTCACTGTATTCGTGGAACAGAATCTTGTGTAGCTACACGTAAAGTGGCAATGGTAGTGAGGCCTGCGATAAGCATATTTATTCTTACATGTCTGCCTAACAAGGGATGTTTGTGTCCTAGGATTGGCAGTGGTCACTGGGAGCTGTGTCTGTGTTCCTGGCATGGATGGTGCTGGTGCTGTTCATCCAGAAGTTCCCCAGGTTTGGAATCTACGTTGTCATGTTCACGGAGATCCTCACCACCGTCGCACAGTTCTTTGTCGTCTTCTTCCTCTTCATCGTGGCCTTCTCGCTTGGCTTCTACACTTTGTTCCAGAATCAGGTTGGCAAACAATCTTCTCTACCCTTTGTGAAATATCAAATATCACTTTATGCTAGAACCAGCTTTCCCCATTGACACTGCTGTTTAGAGGTTGTGTTACTCGACAAGCAAATAAAAGATCCCTGATGACATACTAAAGTCCTATGACCTCATGATGTTTGATGTCATTCACAAACATCCAAACATGTGAGTGAGTGGGTTAAGATTTAAAGTCACATCGGCACTATTTCAGCCATATCATGACTAAAACTAGTTCTAAATTCATAATACATATATATATACAGGGGTGGAAATAACTTTAAAATTGCTAGTGTACTCCGGAACAGTGGCACATGTAAAATCACTTGCCCTGATAATTTTTCCACTATACCGTCCGTTTTCTTGTTGATTTTTTAAAATAAACAACACAATTAACATTGGAAAGTCAACTGGACACCGGTACAGTGTGATATACAAACTTGCTTGCCCGACAGAAAAAAACACTGGACTCGGACGTCGGGCAATGGGTTATTTTATATAAAATGATATAATATATAAAACCCTGTCAATGAAGGACAGTAAAACCACTAGATTATCACAGATTGAGTTAAAACTAGCTAGCATGTATTTTTAAAAGTAGAAAAGCATTTTCGGACAATACAATGTAAAAATGGGCTATAGATCGCCAACAACTGAAGGTAGATCACCATACCAGGGACCATGGGGACTTACAGTGCCTTTGCTACCTGCATGGACCCTAGCTGGATTTACACCATCCCCTCAGCCACTGTTGATTGTAGGAAAATTTAGCCGAAAATTAAAATAACAAAAAAGCTACGTTTAAAAAAATTGGTATTTTTTAATTTTACTTTGAAAGTTTTGGGTCTTACGTACCCTCTCAGGGGGACACATCCCCTATGTATTAGTACTATGACCTCACAATGTTTGATGTCATTCACAAACATCCCCTATGTATTAGTACTATGACCTCACAATGTTTAATGTCATTTACAAACATCCCATATGTGTTATAAAAGTCATATGACCTAATGATGTTTGATGTCATTCACAAACATCCTCCATGTACATTTATTATTAACATACTACAGCCTATATGTTTGATGTCATTTACAAACATACTCTGTGTATTATTATAGGACTTAAGCCTATATGTTTGATGTCATTTACAAACATCCCCTATGTATTATTATAGGACTTAAGCCTATATGTTTGATGTCATTTACAAACATACTCTGTGTATTATTATAGGACTTAAGCCTATATGTTTGATGTCATTTACAAACATCCCCTATGTATTATTATAGGACTGTAACCTATATGTTTGATGTTGTTTCAGATTGCCTTCCAAAACGTCCCAAGTGCAATGATCAAAACAGGAGTAATGATGATTGGCGAGTTTGAGTTTGATGGAATATTTAATGAACAATTCAAGTCAACAACTCCAGATGAGAAGGATCGAGTGTTGTATCCTGAAGTTTCTTATCTTCTCTTTGTTATCTTCCTCATCCTCATGTCAATCATCGTCATGAACTTGCTTGTGAGTAACTATGACAATGCTTTATAAGCCTAGGATTCAATTGTTATTGTTTGATTCACAATTGTTTCACCTTCGCAGGATTGCTTTTCCTGTGGATTTTGATTGAAATGACAATGTATGAGCCATGGGGATACTTTTGTAATAGGAAATATTTATGAACCATCAGCACTGAAAATGTTTAAGTAGAATTTAAATTTAAGAATGAGCCAAATTTGAATGGTGTCTGCCATATCATCGTGCATTCTGTAGGTCTTGCATGTGACCTAATGAAGCCTTCACACAGAGCAAGATATACAAATATATTAGTTTTAGGTATTTTTATGTGTTAGTACTTACATACTAAGTAAATCAAAGAATAAAATATATTTCAAGCATTGCTGACACCTTAACTCAACAACTGTCTGTAGACTGCAGTCAGGCACCAGTCAGCTGGAAAAAAATTCCTCTGCCAAAATTCTAAAACATTCAAGGTTATAATATCAGAGAAATTGAAGTCTTCCTGCTAATTCACCGTAGTCCTAAATTTGCAATATAAACACAACCCAGAGGGAGTGTTACACCAATAATTCCATTTGAACTGAAATGAAAACGGTATAAAAATACCTATGCCAAAACGTCGCTATTGTACAATAAAGAAGTTGATCATTCATAAAGACTGGTCATTCCTAATAATTCCATATGTTCCAAATTTCACAGTTGAATGCTACATTTCCATGGGAAATGACAATGTTAATTTTGTAAGTGAAATAACAATTACTTGTAACAATTTTCTGTGATTTTAGATTTAAATCATCGTTACCTTATTAGACAAAATGCATATCATTATATGAATACATCATTTATCTTGTGTATATGATCTTGTGGCATGGTGAAGTAGATATTTTGACTCTTGTCTTGATTGTGCCTGTGTGCAGTATGTCAGTAAACTCATTGAAGAATATGAGATGTACAAACATAACTCTGTATTGTGACTTATCTGTTTGTCCGTCCCAGGTTGGTTTGGCTGTAGATGACATCAAGGCTGTGCAGGACCAGGCTGCCCTCAAGAGGATGGCTATGCAGGTGGGTGGTGAATATCATCAACCAGGTGGATCTGGGTAGATACCATTAATAATTCCAATATATTTGACATACCATATTGATAGATTTTACAGGGGAAACTTATCTATGAAATCAGCTTATCTGCAGTCATATACCATCATCTTGGACTGTAGATTATGGAAATTTATGTTAGAACAACTAGTCCATCAAGATTGTTACTTGTCTCAGATGAAGGGGCTAGTGGCATTGTCTATCACTTTGGATTAGTCATCTTTGTAGGGTTGTTAGAGAAACTTATTAGAGATTAAGGATGAGGAATTTTATGATGGCATCAAGTCTGCATCAGAGTCACATTTCACTTTTTTTTTGTTTTTAAGGCCAGACCAATGTTTATCCCTCGCAACTCCTTTTGCAGGGGATATCAAAATGGACTCCGTCTGAGCGTGCGTGCGTCCGTCTGTGCACTTTTGTCTTTTCCGGAGCAGAACTCTAAAACCTTTCACTATGTCTTCACCAAACTTAGCACATAGATAGATCTGGTGGTGTACTGGTGCCTTTTGGTAATTTTGGAATTCTGAATAAAATATTGTTGGCGTTTCCATGGCAACAAGTTTGACTTAGACTGAAATTGGTGGTATTGCTCTTTTCCGGAGCAGAACTCTAAAACCGTTCACTATTTCTTCACCAAACTTGGCACATAGATTGGTCTGGTGGTGTACTGGTGCCTTTTGGTAGTTTTGGATTTCTGAATAATATATTTTTGGCATTTCCATGGCAACAAGCTTGACTAAAACTGAAATTTGTGGAAGTGCTCTTTTCCGGAGCAGAACTCTAAAACCGTTCAATGTTTCTTCACCAAACTTGGCACATACATATATCTGGTGGTGTACTGGTGCCTTTTGGTAGTTTTGGAATTCTGAATAAAATAATTTGGCGTTTCCATGGCAACAAGTTTCACTTTGACTGAAATTGGTGACAGTGCTATTTTCTGGAGCAGAACTTAAAAAACCTTTCAATACTCTCCTTCCACTTTTCTATATACACACCTAAATATTTGACATAATCATAACTCGTAGACATAATCATGAAGAGTATTTTGCCATTGCAGGGGATATTGATGACTCTGTCTTCTTGTATTGCCTGTTTTATTGATCCGTCAGTCATATTTTTTCAAGAATAAGAAGAAAAATATAAATAAAATCCTAATGTTAAGGTATATGGGAGTGAGACTTCGACTTTGCAGTTTGTTGGACACTAAAACACCGGTATCTGTTCTCAGAGACTTTAAACTGAATTATCTAACAATGTTTCTGTTAGAAATCAGTACTTCGAGCACCTCAGCGAGTGTGAATTTGAAAAACAATGCCTTTGAAAAACTTATATGGTTTTTGCTTTGACTGGTGATTTTTTCCCCCCTCTTTCCTTTAGGTTTTCTGATGACAAAGAAATAAAATTGGTCTGGCCGAAATATGAAACAGCATCTAATACAAACTACCATGCATTTTTGGAAATAAAAAATGTAACCTGCTTGGTCTGAGCAATTATCTTTACATGATCCAGATAAAGCAAGCTTCATAATGATAACTGAACCTGTATGCTTTGTGTAGGTTGACTTGGCATTAGATGTGGAGAGAATCCTGCCTGACTTCATCAGACGAAAGTCTTACATCCGAAGAAAAACATTCAAACCAAACCAGTGGCTGTCGAACCCTGTCAGAAGACTGTTGAACTACCAGTCCTCCATGTCAGCTCAGGCCATTCAGAAGGCACTCAATCCAGAGCTGGTGAGTAGAGAGAGGGGCCTAGAAAAATATGCTGACAGTGGAATATTTTTTTTTGACAAAAAGTTTACAAATTCACAAGGTGTTTGACAACATTGCTTAACTTCACTGACTGTTAACTCAAAGGTCTTTAATACCACTTATTAGGACTTCTTATTACATAAGATAAAATAAAGAATAACCAGATTCCAGGGCCATAGTTAACTTTTCTTAACAGGGGAGGGGGCACTATCAACTTTAAATGAGTGTTATATCAATACTTTGATGCACAAAAAGTATTCTGTAAAAAAAATTCTTGCGGGACAGCTGTCTAACTACGGCCCTGGATTCTTATGGTAGATTCTCCGCAAACATATTGTAATAATGAAGACATGTTAAAAGGGTAGCCTCTTCATGACATTGAACATTCCTCCCCAGGATGAGATCGAGAAGGTTCAGGAGAGTCAGGAAAAACTGCATGGAGACATGAAGAAAATGAAGAGAATTGTGAAGGAGCTTCGAGAACAGAACTCTCGCATTGAGAGCATGTTGCGAGCCATTGTGACGCAGACCGAAAACATCCACTGGCAGGAGGAAGATTATCAAGAGGATGAGGATGAACTGGATCAGCAGACAATAGAGAACTCGCTCTCCTAGACACAGGGTTATCCCCCTTGGCTGGATTATCTCCCTTTGCTAGATTATCAGTTTTGATCATATATGGATGGATGCAACACCAGTCATTGTTTGAACATTTTGTCCCGTGGATGGAAGTGCCCCATGTTAAAGTCAAATTTAAATTTTTACAGCAATAATGTTTCTGACTGTTTGGAAAAGTCAGAGCACAATACTGCTTCTCAGATCTGATCACTGTGGTACTTTGAACATTTTTGTATATACACTTACCTTTATATGAGAATCCCACCTGTGTTTAAAAGGTAGCACAGATCTCATTAATGTAAATATTTTTTGAGACTATTGTTAATCACATGTAACAGATTTCTAGCTATGCTGCGTTCAGAAGCAGTGATATTACCGAAGGTTATGCTCTCTGCATGGTTGCTTGATGGATTCTTTTGATTAGGAATTCAGTGATATGCTACAGGATATGCTTGGGATTGTTTTGAGTAGGAATCCAGTGATAAACGGTTACATGATGATCATTATTATGAAGCCAGCACTATATCATAGGTTGTGCACTTCAGTGGTATGGTTAGGCAGCACTAACAAAGTGTCTTTTGACAATTCCTGTGACTAGGACAAAAACATATGGTGACAGGTTACTTGAGACGACTGTCCCTCATCTCGGGAACAATCTTCCATCTCACCTCAGAACACAACCAGATTTAGCTGTTTTTAAATCAAATCTGAAGACTTGTCTCTTTACTGAAGCATTTGACCTCTATGTGGTATCAATACCATCTTAGAGCCAAAGCGCCTTTGAGCAGTTTATGGGTATTGGCGCTATACAAGTATTTGTATGTATGTATAAAGTGTACAATGTTACTGCTTGTCTGATGAGGAAACCTGCGATATGTTGTAGCGATGACTTTGGATTTGCATTCAGTTCGCCCCTTTAATATCGAAGCTGTTTCTTATAAGTCAAGAAAACAAACGAATCAAAGTGTAAATATACATGCATACACATCCCAGCTGAGAAAACTATTCTTATTTCAATAGTTGCACTGGAGTGAGTTGGCCGATTTGAAAGATCTGTTTATACATGGTGTGGTCAACAATGATTAACCCTGAAACTGCTCTCATGTATTACATTCATGTGTATTGACTCCCTCCAGAACTACTTACATGTTGTCTGGGGTTAATAGTGATTACTTATGTATACTTATTTGTGCTGATATACTGTTTACCCATAACCTACCTTTGTTTATACATGTATGTTACTGATGTTTACCTGTCGACAGGCAGTCACCTGTGTTCACTTGTAAATATTCAATATTCAGGTATTGTACTACTGAAAGCCATCTCTCAGTAGGGGAATTGAAATACCCTGCTTCTTTCAAGATTTAGTATTTCAGGAGGGATTTGTATAAAGAATGATGATACTTTTTATGGATGTACAACTTCTTTATTGTGAAAGGCGACATTTCAACAGATTCTAATAGAATTCAGAGAATCTAGGTCGCAACTTCGCCTTTCACAATAAAGAAGTTGTGTATCCATAAAACATATCATCATTCTTCATCACCCCAACTTCTAAAATGCCCATCAAGGAAGGGATTTGTATAATTTACAAGTTGTGAAAATCAATTTAAAATGTATTTTTCATGGTTGTCAAGTCTGCAACTCAGGAATCAGTCCTTTGATGTTCACAGGGACCATATGGTTGTCATGGGAAGTCAGTTCAGGAACACATTAATTCTGTGCCATGCAGGCTATGGCAAATGAATACACTTGAATGATATAATTTATGGGGATTTCTAGTAAGAATAGGTCCCCTGCAATCTGTGCTGGTTTTATGGTGTCAAAATTGGGTGGTGATTTGTATGCTAGCATGTCATTGTGCAATATAAATCACGAGATTGTCTGGTCCAGACTTGATTATTCAAAAGCCACTGTCGGACAATAGGAATATTGATGAGTGTGATGTTAAACAACAACTGAACACGAACATATTTTTGTTGTAGCCAGAAATGGACCCGGGTGTAGAATCATCCCACAGATGGCATTGCTTATGTTGTCAGCTTCTTGACTCTCTTTGGTCATGTGTACATGGATAAGATTACTAGTGACCATGATTCCCTGCAAGGGACTGAGAAATTGTATTACTGTTGTAGCATGATATAGAGATGACACCCTTACCTTGTCAGCTTGCTCACAGGATTACCCGCTTTGTTCATGTGGACAAGGTGTTAGACTTCAGATCAGGAGGACATGGTTCTAATCCCACCACAAGACTTTTAGGGCTGCCCAATGTGGGGTGGCCATAACGTAACCCCCATAAAGCTGTTTATACATATACGTCTGTGATCATGTTCCAGAATTTGTCACACATTGTACATCTTCAGCATTTGATGAAAAAGGGTAATATAGCAGTGTTTAGAAATGTCTACTTTCATGGATCTATTTAGTAAAGTTGAATAACTGCTGATTAAGGTTTAACTATAGGCCGTCATATGCTGATGTTGTCATCTGTAAATAACTTGTGTATTTTTGTATAATAGATGATACTGACACATTTTGTCAGCTGGTATCTAATAATCAGTGGCCACATTTGCTCAGATTTTACTTGCATGTATTTGTACATTCATAACCTGAATCAGTGATCAAGGATACCCTTGTTTATAGTGCTTTGTGAAGTGTGACAAGTAACCCCCATTACGCTGTTTATACATCTTTGTGATCATGTTCCAGTAACTGTCATACATTGTATGTCTTTAGGGTTAATAGGGTAATATGGCAACGTTGTATCATTTTTACATTTAGATTTTTTGATAAACACAACTGGTTAACTGCTGATAATCTTGGTAGGACGTGTGTACAGCATATTCATTCCTCTTGATATGTTAACTGGTATTCAGCAGTCAGTAAATAATTGATTTATCCAAGGCATTATGTTTTCATGAGGTTTAGAGAATTAAATATAAAACAATGATGATAGAATGTTTTCATGAGGTTTAGAGAATTAAATATAAAACAATGATGATAGAAATGAAAATGACATGTTTAAAACATCCATGTGATGTCCTTTAGGAATTGTTAGTTGGGTGAAACATAAAAAAATAAACAAGTTCATTGTGACATTTGGGATTAGTCTTTCTTTGAGCAAAGTGAAAAAATAATGACGTAATTGGCCAGAAATGTTTACCTTTGAGATTAATATTGATGAAGTGATCAACATTTACACTTCTCGTTTGGAGGGTGATCTTGATCTTATCCCCTTTTTAACCCTTCCTCATGCCTTAGCACAACCTTAACCTGAATTTTCCTAACAAATTACTCTGAGAAATGTTATCACCAACAATTATCACAGCTCTAAGCATGTTTAACAATGACTTGTCACCAATCAGTATTTTCACATGTACAATCCTTGTCAAAAAACTATATTGTATGTGAACTTTTCAGCCATAGGGTCAGAACCCTACTACCTCTTGAAAGAATTTGTGTTTTCTCTCGTCAAGGTTAAGCAACTTAAGTGTTGTAGTTTTGTTTTTAACTATTAGACCATTTGGAAGTACATCTTCCTTGTACATGCAATTTTGATATGTTCATCTTTTCTATAATTAAGCATTTTCTGGAATACAGTTATTTTATAATCATCATATTTTACTCAAGCAATGTAAAGAAACTTTTTGTTACGATTCAAACTGCAGGTATATGTTGTTGCAGATCAGAGGGCACACTTGTCATATTCAAATCATGACAAACATGTATACATCGCAAGTGCCACCAGGCCATTTAATATTCTTTGGGGCCTTAAATTTTTATGAGATATGAAATATTTCTCCTCTCAGTACTTTAAGGCATTTATTTTTTATATAAAATGAGAAGCTACACAGTTATTTTGAATATTTATCAACTCTTGAGAACGGAATAGGTGTGGCAGGATCTGAAATTAGATTGATAGATGACCCGATTTCTAATATTGAAGGTTTTGTTTTCAAGATAAATATCTGAAATGATGGTTTCCATATTGGTGTACAGAGAATAGGGTAATGATACATTTCCAGCAAGATGTTTGTAACATACAATATGGTCAGTACAATTCTTTTAAATTTAAGTACTGCATGTTTTCATCTAAATATATTCAGAATGCCCTTTTTGCATTCAAAAAAAGATATTTGTTACATCTGTTTTAGATTGTGTTAATATTGAATTTACTACTAATCATATATTATTAAAGTCTATTTACATACTCTCATTATTTGTTTTGGTGTTTGATAATATTAGGGGCGGTGGGGTAGCCTAATGGTTAAAGCGTTGGCTCGTCATGCCGAAGACCCAGGTTCAAATCCCCACATGGGCACAATGTGTGAAGCCCATTTCTGGTGTCCCTTGCTGTGATGTTGCTGAAATATTGCTAAAAGCGGCGTAAAACCAAACTCAGTCAGTCAGTGATAATATTATGTTTATGTTAGTACATGGGTGTTTTCACATTGCCAATGTTAAGGTTCAGGATTTGGCCTGAGGCAGGTTGTATTGGCCTTGTCAGTGCTGAGGATTAGTTTGTCTGTCCAGGGATGTATATGATAAAAGTGAGTGAGTGAGTATAGTTTTACGCTGCACTCAGCAATGTTCCAGCTATATGACGGTGGTCTGTAAATAATGAAAGTCTGGACCAGACAATCCAGTGATCAACATGAGCAGTGATCAATGCAATTGGGATATGATGACATGTGTCAACCAAGTCAGCCAGTCTGACCACACGATTTGATCCCGTTAGTTGCCTCTTACGACAAGCATGGTTTATGGAAGATCTTCATGGGTCATTTGATAAAAGGCCAGTATATAGAAACCCATTTAATAGCCCCTTAACACTTAGTAAAGGAACTATGGTACATCTACACCCATCGATACAAGCATATCACATAAACACAAGATGTTTCCAGCAGTCTTATACTTATTAAAAAAATCTTTTTAACTGCAGAAACAATGACTATTTTTTTATTAATAAAGGTTATATAAGATATATAAAATCTCAGTTTCCTGCATAATACTGCAATAAATTCACATTTAAATGCCCATAATGTATGATTTAATGTGCGTCAGATTAGTACTGGTAGTAAAGATACACTGCAACAACAGCTCCCAAATCACATGTGAGACATCCTGGTACTCAACAACAGACAGACATATATATAACACACACATGCACAATGCTACCTATAAGCAGGTATGCTGACAAATTGCATATGCTTTCAAAATGCCCACAAAATGGAATCACTCGACCTGATTCTAAAACTGGATCCCCTAGACCTGAGGCAGTGTGGCAACACTGGTTCCTCTGAGGTCGCACATGCAAACGATCAGTCCTAGATGCAAGCAGTGTAAGAAATAGTTTCCAAATTTTGTTAGCCAGTCGGGCTAGCTATGCCTGAAAGCTATAGCCCACAAAACAATTCAGTAGCCCGAAATATATTTGGCCATAATCTTGCATGATTTAAAAGTATATTATTACTCCACAAGTCGGAGAGAGGGATGTATATAAAAATGAACTCATGAAAATTCACTAGCCACTGGGGCCAGTGACTGTGGAGATTTACAGGCCCGACTGGATTCTTACTAGCCACAGGTAGTGGGCCAGTAGCTATTTCACACACTGGATGCAAGTGGCCAGCATAACATGCAAGCAGCCAGTCCTAAATGCAAGTTCGGTCGTCATGCCGAAGGCTGGATTCGATTCCCCACATGGGCACAATGTATAAAGCCAATTTCTGGTGTCCCTCGCCATGATATTGTTGGAATATTGCTAAAAGCAGTGTAATAATGTAAAAACCCAACTCACTCACCAAAGACCCAGGTTCGATTCCCCACACAGGTAAAATTTGTAAGTCCATTAATGGTGTCCCCTACCATGATATTGTTGGAACATTGCTAAAAGCGGTGTCAAACCTTACACAGTAAGTGCAAGTGACAAATCCTAGATGCAAGCGGCCAGCCCAATATATAAGCTGTCAGTCCTGGATGTAACTGGAATATCAGCTCAATATAAACCTATGAGTCCATTTACTCCCTACTGTAAACTACATCAGAAACCCATTCATCCTCTGTCACTTCCCTTCCTCTATAAATGGGAATGTTCGTCACTGGTAGGATCAAATGCCTTCCTCCACACCTCAACTTTAACAACATGTTTGTCGGTGCGTGTCTTTTCACCCAGAATCTTCAGCACCTTCAATCTCTTCACTTTTGTCTCATCTTCTGAATTCTGCAAAATCATGTCCACATAGTCTCCTTCTGCCAACTGAAATGAAATGAAACATTTGTAAGGCCAGATTTTTGTAAGTGTCTATGAACTGGGGTTGGGGAAAATGGATTTGGGGAAGAGGCCATGGTAGTGGTTATATAATGGACTTTCAGACTACTTGATTGTAAGTCAAAAAGAAAATCTGTCAGAGGAATCATCAAATTATACCTTGACTTTGACAATCAGAAAGACACCATGGCCATTTAATGTCAGTGTCTGGCTTAAAAAAGTTTGCCTGGAACTGACAACCTGGCAACTGTCCTGGACCTTGGCAGGGAATCAAACCATGGTATTGTATGTGTGAGGGGTGAATACCCTAACCACTAGCCTATCCATAGTGTCAGTGTCAGGCATCACACAATGTGCCAGGTGAAAAACAGTACAGTAGTAAAAGAATGATGCAGTGTCAGCTCTCATATTTCTCATTGCTTAGCAACGTCCTAATGTCAATATGATTTTGATGACTTCAGTTGTACAAATTCTGACTTAATTTCAACACATTGTTACTTTCCTCTTCAAAACTGTGCTGTCTCACAAAATTACATGCTTTGATGCTCAATCAGAATATGCTACTACATCAGGGTGAAAAAAGACAATTCTGTTTAATTTTTATTGGGTTGGCACATAGGGGAAACACAAAATCCCATCTCCCCAGGTGAGGTGAGGTGAAGTCAGTTTTCATTTCGGGCAAGAAAATAATGGTATCTTACTTGTCCGTGGGCTACTAGATAATTTCCACTTATGGTTTTAACCTGCAAATAAACTTGAGATTTAATTTCATATCTGCTCAAAATGTAGCTATTAAATTTCGCAATGATAATGAAGAAGAGTTATCTTTCTTTGCTATTTATCACTTTTCAATAAATAGTCCAGTAAACATTAACATCAAATACCATGTTGATTTATTTTTTCATAATTACATCATCATGATTATTTCATAAAAGCAGGGCAAGTGGAAAATTAGTCAGGACAAGTTACTTTCTTAAAGTCAAGTGACTTTTTAAGAAAATTTTGAATCCCTGGTTTTGGCACATACGAGAAACAACACAAGGAGCCACCTGCCTGTCTCCTCAGAAATATATCCAACCCTGAAGCATATGTATGTATATTGCTCTTTACATTGCCATCAGTGCATGACATGTGCATCTGTTAGAATTGATTCATATTGACATTTTGACGGTAACTGTAAAGAGCAATATACATACCTCTCCACAGATAATCCTGGTTACAGATATACCCCAACAGCTGGTTGGTCTAATCTACATTGACTGAGAAGCACTATTTTAATCTGATGACTGCAAAGTCCATATTCTCCATTAACCAACAATGCATCACATACATCAAACTACTCATACCTGTTTACTTTTCTTCAGAAGCACATGGCCATTTACTCTGAAGTCGATTAGCAAGAAACATCTTATCAATTTTCCTGGAAACGAAATGGTACAGGCTGTCAATGGTATCATCAATGATAATGGTCACAGTACGAATAATAATCAAATGTGACTATTGCCATCAAGTAGAACAATATCACACTGTGCTTGGCAAGTTGGGCATAATGGCACATTAAAACTCAATTTCTGATATCACAGCATATTGGCGCAGTTGTCTTCAGCACCACTTTAAAGTCTATTTTAGCTATATGTATTGGGCAAATTTGGCTGCAGTCTGTAAACAATCAAGTCTGGACCAAACAAGCCAGTGATCAACAGCATGAGCATCACTCTACACAATTGGGATTGAAATGTGTCAACCAAGTCTGTGAGTCTGATCACCCGATCCCGTTAGTCGCCTTTTACAACAAGCATGGGTTACTGAAGATAAATTCTAACTTTCACGGGTTGTAGTATTCAGAAAAGCTGAACGTTTTTAAACTTCAAGGATTCCTTAAGTCCTCAGTTTCATTATAGTGTTCAATAAATTGACTGCACATGCTCACTTTAGAAAAACATGGTTGGACAAATTTCTTGTTTGCTTAAACTAATGTTTTTACACATCTTATTGAAGATAAATGTTTAATTTATTGCTCAACATACTGTTCCTCAAGTAACAACTGTGCAAAAGTATCTTAATGCAAAACTGAAACAAGCACATAACAACAAATGGAGAAGAAAAACATACAACAAACTGCCAGCAAGGAAAACTTCCTACATTTCCTTTCGTAAAAAGGAAATGATCAAGAGAGAAGTGTCATAGGTACATTTAGTAATGGTGACAAGGAACACAATGCCAGTAAACATGAAGGATGGTTATCAGTTCCACTGATTCCGACAAGTTTTTGTACGAAATTGCATCATACAGCAATAATGTGTGAAAGTGCAAATCTAATGTACATTTTGAACACAAATATAAATTTTATCAATGTAAATGGGCATACACATATTCAAAGACTTGAAACAAATGAAAATATATTTGATGGAATGTACATTTTGTTTAATCATCCAAACAGCAAACTTTGTGAGCTATTTTTGTGCTAGGACACCTTTTCTTAAACAGATGCATGTGTTAAAACGTTCGGGACCAACAGAACCCTTGTTAATAAAATCCTTTAAATGAATTTCGAATAAAGGCTAAAAGATAGTAAATCTCTTGTCATACTCGCGTCCAGTGTTCATTCCTTTGCTGAGAATGCTGTCAGTTCGGAGAGAGCGGACATGGAGTTTCATCACAGATCCACCATCACCAGTGTAGTCAGCATCATCCTCACTATCATCTTCATCATCATCATCATCGCTGTCAGTGTCACTATCACTGTCACTGGGGCTGTCAGCCTAAATGTGACATGACATAATGAGTTATCAATTAATGCTCATGCTATAACCACAAGTCTTCCAGACTGTGATGTGCTAAATTAAACTCACTGTTACACATTGCCGAATGTGACATAAAACAACCATAAATCAATCATTTGTGCTACATCAATGTTTATGATGCCTCTGATTGTTTTATTTGTAGCTTCCTGTAACGCATCTATAATGTTCCAGTTCATTGCTTACTACAACAATATGTTCTTAATGTCTGAACTGGGGTTGTTCTGTATCATGTATATGGCTACACTTAAATCTTACATCATCTAGCCTTATTAAATGTATTTCAACTCTTATAAATTTGGGATTCAAATATACACACGAAATTACCTTGCTTTTACTTTTCTTCTTTGCATATCCTCTAACACTATTACTTAAACAGAGTGAAGGGGTCAGGAATTTGGATACGCCCCATGTTAGACCGGTGTTCAGTGAAATCTGGCTGTGGAAGGGTCTCCAATACAGACGAAACTGTCTCTCATGCAGTGATGTATAGTTTTCGAAAATGTAACCAGTGACAGGCACACACGACCTATGCTTCATGAAGGAGCTGAATATATGTTTCCCCTCGTGCATAAATATCCGTGTACATGGCATGCTGAAGAGCAGCAGCAATCTAGACAGTCTAGACACACAATACACGAAAACCGAATCAGTCTCAACCGTTAGTGAAATACTTTATCATAAATATAGAGAATAAAGCTTACACGGACCCTTGAACTAACACAGTGACAACTCTACAATCTCCTATCAAAGTAATGTGAAGTGTCATCAAAAAGGAATACGGTAAAAGGATCTGAACCCCAAGATGAAGTTCCAATACACGAGAACACATGGAACCGGAAGTCGCGAGGTGCGTGTAAATGTAAAAGAGGAAACGAAAATCGAACGGAATATAGCATCCTTCAATACAACTTGGTCCGTTGTTGTTATAAACAAAGTTGAGGAAACTGCAGAAAAAATACTTTTTCATCACAAATGCAAAGTAGGCGAAATGATTTATCATTTCAGTCCTACACGATTATATATACTTTAGAAAAACATAAATCTCCGAACACTTCAAACCTAGTAACAAGGCGTACTAAAGCCTGGAGTTTTTTTTTAATTCCAAATAACGAATTAATTTAAATTTAAGTTATCCTTATTTATTTCACACATTAGGTTCACTATTTACGAAGTGATCTGACCATACACTACTGAACCTTCCATACTCTTCAATATTCAAAATGTGGTTTAAAAGTTGAATAAACGTAGTGGAAGGTATAGGCCTACCCCATACACATTTCCCACACGTCTATTATGGAAATGTTATACTACTTAACACAAATTCAAGAAGGGTCATAACTGGAAGGCTGTGCATGGCAATATCCATCGCACACAAAGATCGTGTTTCCTTTAACTTCTCGTAAGGAATATAGTTTCTGGGATCTCGTCGAATCGATTTAAAACCACGTAAAGTCTATGTATATACTTTCAAATAGTCTGTCTCACAGTCCCCAAACTACATTATTTTCCCTACTGCCTAGCCCTCCATGCAATGATAAAGCCCCAAATGAAGCAAGTCTAGATGTCCTCAGTACAAGACAAAATATTATGGATGTCAACTTCTTCTTTATTGTATACACAACGTTTCTGGGCTTTTCCTTGCCCCTTCGTCTGCAGCTGAATGGGATTTCCTCAGGTTCAGAATTTCCCATCTGACTGGAGCTCCTTTTCAATTCAATGGGTTTATTTCTTACTATCAGAATTACATACATATATTCAGTGACTAAGTATTAGTCTAACTTTCAAACTGAGTAGACGATTTAGCATTGGAAAATGTGAACTGTAAATCTGTTGAGGTAGTTTATGCACCATAGGGGGCGCCGTTATATGTTATAATATCAGTTATTCACAAAATGAAATATGGATATCACATAAATCTTGACTTAATGATATCATGAAAATATTAATATCATGAAATAATTCTTAATATCACAAATTCCAATTTTTGAGATCATAAAATGACATTTTATGATATCACTTGATCGATTTTGTACATAATAGTTATATATAATAATTCATTTTGGGATATCTAATAATCGAATTTGTGATGTCAATTACTAATTTTGTGTTATCAATAATTAGTTCATATCACTAACTCGAATTTGTGACATTAATATTTCTTTTTATTTTGTGACATCACAAAATAAATGATTGATATAATAGAATAGGGAATAAATTGTAGAACGGCGCTGAAGGTCTATTGACATATAGTATGACCAGAAATTATTGAGAATTTTAGGAATATGTTTAATTGGATTTCTAGTATAAACAACCTTGACCAGCTATCAAGTGCTTAGTTTCATTCAAGAGAGACAACTCCGTTAATCCTTTTTCATTCGTTTGTGAAGAGTTATCCCCCTTTGTTTACTTGATAGCAGACGACATTTTCAGTGATTCTCAGTATGGATGATTTAGAGAAGAGGAAGTTGATTTTAGAGTATTCTAACAAGGACATCAGATCAGCTAAAGTGATTTCATTTAGAACAGGCATCCCTTTGTCCACTGTTTATCGTGTTTTGAAAAATATTGCAAATGGATCTTATGGCATTGAGCACCAGGGAGGCGCAGGTAGGCCCAGAAAATTGACTGTCGGTGACAGGAGGCGGCTTGGTATTCTTGTTTCTAAAAATAAACGAAGGAGTTTAGAAAACTTAAGGCTGGATATGATTGATAGAGGAACTGTGGCTGTCTGGAAGGAGACAAATAGAACTGAGCTGCATGCAATGGGTTGGCAGAAAAGTCGAGGAATTCCATCACCGATCATGAAACCTGACCAAAAGGAGCGAAGGTTGAACTGGTGCTTACAGGATTGAAATTTTAACTGGGACAATGTGATTTTCTCAGATGAAAGTTCTGTGTGGCTGTTTACTAAAACACTGAAATTCTGGACCAAACAAACTGAAAAACCTTTGTATCAGCGCCCAAAGTACAGTCCGAAATTGGACGTGTGGGGTGGCATATCTGTGTTACGGGCAACGCCGCTCTGTGTATTTGAAGGGGATATGAACAGTGAGCGGTACACAGATATTCTCGAGGGACATTTACTTCCATCTGCTCACGTGTTCTATAGAAATGTTTGGATTTTCCAGCAGGACAACGACCCAAAACATCGTTCAAACCATTCACAGGCCTGGTTTCGGACCCAAAATATGACATTATTAGATTGGCCAAGCTATAGCCCTGAACTAAATCCAATAGAAAATGTTTGGGGACTTATGAAGGAAAGTGTCAATAAGAAAAATCTGACAAATATTGCTGAAATGAAAGAAGAGGTGGTCCGATATTGGGACAGCATGGACCACGACTTTCTAACTTCTTTGATCAATAGTATGCCCCGCCGCATTGAAGCCTGCATTGCTGCCCATGGTGACTTGACAAAATACTAACTGTTCACCTGTCTTTGAATCTGGAGTTATGTTCTGCTAATATTCACATTTAATACGTGAGTAATGAGTGAAAAAAAATGAAAAAATATACAATCTTTAAATTCTCAATAATTTCTGGTTGTACTGTACATGTGCCTTCCTATGTCCAATACGGTAACGAAAGCAAACACAATCTTTGAGAAAATCTGGAAACCTGGGACCATTCATTTACAAGCTACATAAGTCGTCTACAAGATATCCATCCGTCCGCGCAGATCTTTTGATAAGTATGTTGTTAAGTCTGGAAATATAACGGGAGATTCACTCATGATCATGCACGCTTTAAATTTACTGTGCCTAATGTCACGTATTATTAATTAATTCACACCCACAATCTTGATACAGGCCGCAGTTCACACTTGCAACAGTCTTCACAGATGCACAAGGAAGCCGATGATGCCCGCTTGTGTGATTTGGGATCTCGTTATGATCACGGCGATATCTCCAAGTCGAGCGTTTCCATGACAACTAGTTATTTTTAGCGCACCGCGACTGATGTAGGCCAGAGAGCTCAAACTTCCATTGCAGATATCGCAGAACATGCCAACCCAAATCTGGAATTGTGGGACACTAGGGTAAGTGTTGGTAGCTCATGCTTTGTACCTGTATCCTGTATCAACTGGTGCTCGGTTTGTTTCTTACATGGATGGCCATGGTGGCTGCAATGAGTCTCAAACCAGATATCTCTCGCAGATTCTGTTCAGTTCAGCCCATATGCTGAGTCTGCGTTTTGCATCCGACACAATGAAGACGTGTCGGTGTCGCCTTTGCTTGTCGCCAGAGTATACGTTGAAGATTATCGAGGATGTTAGGTCTGTACCTTACAAAACAGGTTGGGGAAACCTACGGATCGGCCTATAATAGGCCAAACGGGATATAATAGGCCGATCCGCCTATTTTGCTATAGGCCGATCGGCCTATAATTATGATATTTATCAAATAAATTTGAAGTGGTGCATTTCCGCATGAGGATATTAACATCATTCAAGTTTTGATGTCCAAAGGTTTTCATTCAAACCCTTTTCGAGCATTTTCATCACATAATAAAGGAGTTTGGAAATTGCTAATTAAATATAAGACTGTAATAGTTTTGACAATTTTCACTGAAAATTAATGATATAGATATTCAGTTTTAGTTGTCAAAATGAAAATCTATGCAAAATTGTGTTCTTAAATGAAACATCTTTTCCTGAACATTATATAAATTTCCATTTTGTCCAAAAACTTATTTTTTTCAAGCTGAGGAGGTCCATTAACTATTCATCTCTATGATCTAATAAAACCATTTCGTGCGGAAATTGATGGTTTGTGAAATGTTAATAATAATGGTCAAATATAGCCTGATCGGCCTATAGTAAAATAGGCAGAACGGCCTATAATACTAGTATCCCGTTCGGCCTTTTATAGGCCGATCCGTAGGTTTCCCCAACCTGCAAAATGCACTCTGGCGATAAGGAAAAGGCCACACCGACAACACTAGTAGAAACTTATCGGAACGTACATACTCTGGAGATTATCAAGAATGCAGACCTAACGGAGACAGCAGAAATTACAGAACGTGATTTCAAGTCTATTAAAATGGTGTATTGATAACTGTGTTCGAAATGTCCTTTAACCAACGGTGCGAGGATTGAACATGGATCGGGGACATAAGAGTAAATATAGGAGGCAAAACTCCATAACAAAATTATAAGATCTTCAATCAAATTGTTAATGTTGTGGGGGCGGTGGGGTAGCCTAGTGGTTATTTAAAGCGTTCGCTCGACCCGCCGAAGGCCTGGGTTCGATTCCCATCATGGATACAATTTGTGAAGCCCATTTGTGGTGTCCCCCACCGTAATATTGCTGGAATATTGCTAAAACGACGTAAAACCATACTCAGTCAGTCAGTTAGGGTTGTGATCCCGGATGAATTTTTGTATCTTGTTGCTAATCCCTATTTTGACTTGTGTGTTTGTCTTGTATGTGAACAGTTGACTAGCCTTTGCGTGTATTTTATGACGGGTGCTCACCCTTTGGCGCACCTGGTATTATCTCTTTTGATAGAGATTCATAAACACTCCCTTGTGATATTAGGAATCGTAGAACATAGGACTCTGTACATTTACTTGTTGATATAACTGTCAACCGACGCATGACAAACATACGCTTCTCACGGAATATCAGCTTTACGTCATGTCACTATATTGACTTTCTACATTTTTGCATAATTTGTTTGTTTTTTAACGCCGCAATCAACAATATTCTATAGCGACGTTTCTGTGAACAAACAAGCTTGGAGCAGACAATCAAGTGACTGACATCATGAGCATAGATTTACGCAGTTGGGATACACTGACATGTATGTGGTACATAAAGTGGTATGAAGTCGTGCATGAAAAATTGTACGTTGACCAAACCCACCTCTATACCAAAAATGCGTGTATTAAAGCGTAAGTTTTCACTGCATATATAAATGCGTCAGTTCATATTTCCAAACCATGTTTTATCATACAGGTAAATGGGCCAGCTTCAATATACAGCTACATTCCTTCAACATTACAACAAGAAACACCACGAAGAACATAAGCCAACCAACACCGAAAATGAGTGATCTGGTTTTAAAAACGGGCGTGAGTAGGACCACGTCGAAGGAAGCCGACAAAGATTCCGTGGCGGGAAGATTTGAAATCACACATAGGCAACTGACCACGGCCCAGGCAAAACTGGTTGTCGCACAACCGGTCAATGAAGACCCGCCTAGTCCCCTCTCCCAGGAGTTCCAGGAACACACGTCTTCATTTGGCCCCATTCGGGCCCCAGTTACCAAGTTAGGGTGGACGAAGAAAGGACCAAGGGAACGTCGGGTTTTCGAGCGGTTTATTTATTGCCTTCCAGATATACTTTCTTTCGTCCCTTCCTTCACCTCTACCGTAGAACGAGATCTTCACCTTAAAAGAGAGTACCAGTGCATGGGATATGGTGAGTACCTTTCCATTTTAGTTCAGACGATAGTTTTGAACAAGTGAGCGCAGTACCCGTGGTCGTATTCTGGGTAAATCATGGTTGTTCTTGACTAACAACTAGTCTCTGAACATATTTTACAGATAAATCAGTTCATAATGAACAAAATAAAGTATAATGAGACTGAGACCTTCTTCATTTTCAGTGGCAACTAGACTTGCCACATATTCTAGACTTGCATGGACTTTCATGGATGTGTTTGTTTCAGGGTCAGGTGACAGACTAGGTTGTTCTTGGTGACACAATATCAGAGTCCTGTCAAACGTTGCTACTACTCGGCCCTCATCAGTACAGACATAGGTGCTGGGGACATACTTACACACACATCACAGGACAACATATCTTTACATTTTACCCAAATATTTTCTAAAATATTTCTTTAAAAGAGGATTTATATAGTCTACATTCTCCACAGACCGTTATTCAACTGAATACAATTTTATGACAAAAGAAGACAAAGCATTCAGCTTGAACGGATGCTGACAGATGTTGGAGACATGGTGAGAGTATGGGTGACCTTGACCTCCTGGTAAGACCAACTCTGAGCTGCAACCTGCCAGGGATTGTTATTATTGTACCTGGGAGGCTTGGATCAGAGTGTGCTCAAACCTATCTACACTTGCCGTGATAAAAATGAATCTTTGTTAGATCTCGTGTTTTACCTGTCAGACTCGGCCATCGTTACTCTGAGCAAGCGAGTGTTGATCCATGTGGTTCATGAGTGCAATGCTGTTTCAAAACTAGCTTCAAATGCAAATTCTCTTGTTCCGATTGTTTGTTTACTTCACAGTAAGCGGTGAATACTTCTTAAATATACACAGATCCGTTGACTTGGGTAATTATCATGCAATGTTTGATCATGCCTAAGTGTATACAGTGTTTTGACTGGCGTAGTTTGAAGACATGCATAAATGTGATTAGTCTTTTGTGGCTCTGCAGCAACACCTCTCCCTCTGTGCCTTAGGGGCATAGGGTTAGCCTAATAGTTAAAGCGTTCGCGCGTCACGCTGAAGATCCGGGTTCGATTCCCCACATGGGTACAATGTCCATTTCTGGTGTCCACCGCCGTGATATTGCTGGATTATTGCTATATAAATCTAAACTCACTCACTCACTTGTTCAGCTGCTAGCAATTCCCGACAAACACGTAGGTATCCTTCACACACTACTGCTTGCAATGGTCAATATGTCTGCATATGTCCTGCCTTGTCATTTAGTCACTTTGTATTTTACTCTCTTCCCCCAGGGTACCCATCCCGTGACTACAACAACGGCTACCCTCGCCCCACCTGCATCTTCATCAACCAGACGGCGGAGGAGTTCCGGGACTTCCTGGTGAAGCTCTACCCCAACCTTGAGGGCAGAGACGTGGAGGTGTACAGGATGGACAGACAGAAGAAGCTCCTCTCGGTTGTGTCGGGAACTCCTCGGGAACTCAAGGACATGAACTATAAAGGCATCATCGTCATCATTCCTAGGAGTGTAAATGTAGGCAGTTCAATAACAGGACAATCCTTAAAGTCATACAAAGTAAACTGGTTCTGTGGGTATATAACGTAATTTTACTCAAAGGTAGCTATGATTTGCTGTCCTGGCAAGTTTGAACCCATTCGCAACTACTCGCCTCTTTCCTTGACCTACAAGACTGCTGACTGACTGAGTTTAGTTTTACGCCGCTTTTAGCAATATTCCAGCAATATCACGGCGGGGACACCAGAAATCGTACCTGTATAGTACGCCATTACATTCAACTAGTCGTCCCTTACGAGTAGTTACGAATGACGCCATTATTACAAATAGTCGTGGCAAACCAATCAAATCGCGCGTAGTAAAATGTGAAATGAGGTCAAATAGTGACTATAATGAAGTTATGTAGATCATGTGTCTTTGGAGTATATATCGAATGAACCACGCTGGCCACCATTGACGACCGTGAAACTAAAGTACTCAGAACATAGATCAGTGTACAGGATCATATTTTGTCACAGGGCGACAGACAAGATGTCCCTGTCACCAGCACGAGCAGCACGACGGATGACACTGGTCCAGAAGGCGACACTGTGCTGCACGCGGTGTCAGTCAAGCATCTGAATTACAGAATCCTGCCCCAACTTTCCCCAGTCCAGCACCCTCACGTTCCTGTGACGTCACCAGCCACACAGACCCGGGTGGTGAGTGGCAGATAGGTTTACTCAACTCTGATAGTTATCCCTGGTGTATCTATAATTTGATTTTCGTATGTGTTGTGTGTGTTTTTTGTGTGCGTGTGTGCGTGTGCGTGTGCGTGTGCATGGTTTAAATCCGCACTCGGCAATATTCCAGCCATATGACGGCGGGCTAAATATGCGAGTCTGGACTAGACTATCCAGTGATTGACATCATGAGCATCGATCTACGTAGTTTTGATACGGTGACGTGTATCACACGAATCACCGGCCCTTACCACCTAATTGTTTTGGTGTGCCTCGGACCACGCGCTTACTGGTGCCACCAACGGAGAGCAGATACCAAACGTGTTCTCTCCTATAATATCCATCATAATGTTTAATTTTTGTTGTATAGAAACAAGAACCCGTGGAGCCAACGGAACCGTCAGTATCCGAAGATGGAACTTCCTACTCTCCTGGTAGTAGCTTGAACGAAATCATGTTTCCGTGTAGAAATAGCATACGTGGCAGGCATTATATGCAGTTCAACACAAGTTAAAGATCGCGCGGTTGTTTTCAAACGACTACAGTTAATCTGTCTTGGCTTGACATGACATAGTCATAAGTCTATGTCGGGTGCTCTCTAACCCTTTTGGAGTAGTATATATGTTACAGGGAATGTGTGAAAACAAGGATTTCACGTAACCCCTAAAAGAGTCAGTGAGTTCGTGAAATCACTGTGACCTCCAGGAATTTCCATGTATTCCCTAAAATTTCAAGGTTCAGGGCATTTCATGAAATAGCTGACATAATGGCTCATGACGTAGGACACAATCGTGAATTGCGAGTCTCATTACTTATAATCAGGCAGGAAAGTGTAAAGTTGCAGGTGATGATAAAAACTGGTATGATTATTCCTAAGTTTCTTCCAAACTTCCTATTTGATATACAGACAATAATCCCCGTCAAGGTAGAGCACTATTGCTCCCGATACTCCTTTCCCATAAAGACCGCCTCCGTGGTGTAGTGGTTAGAGCGTCATACCAAAAGACGTTAAAATATGGTACTTGTTGGTCCCTGCCTGGCGCTCGGCATTAATGGGTACATCAAGTACTGGTCGGCTCGGAGTCAGTATAATGTGTCTGAGTGGGGTATTCATGCTTCACTGCGGCATGGTATCTCAGTGGGCTAGCACTATAAAACCAGCTTCAGTCTGGGCTAGTACAAGCAGCCGCACATACACATACACACGCATGCACGTCGTCATATGAGCGAAATATTCTCAAGCACGACGTTAAACCCAATTCCACCACCACCACCACCTTTCCCATAATATAATTATGGAATTATATATTACCTGTTCCTGTTCTTTACGTTGTTTAGAATTTGTATGGCTGTCTTGTTTTGTGCTGTGGCTGACTGTACGTACATTCGTACTCAAGGTGATGTCTGCAAGATACGGTCGCTGGCTTTACTGGAGAGGTTGAACCTCGGGGCAGCTCGCACCATGATGATCTCGCGAGACTCGTTCGTGGATGACGTCATCACGTTTTACAAGGACGACCCATCCGTCGTGGGCAATGATCTACTGGTGTTTGTTCAGAATAGTAGAAATGGCGACATTGAAGAAATGTGCACAAACAGAATATTCACGGAGTTTTGGAGAAAGGCATACAAGTGTTGGTTTGTTGGCAATGCAGAAACTGTTCCTAAACTGTCGCCTCTGGTGAGTCGAGAATTGTTTGTTGTTCTGGGGAGAATACTTGCACATGGTTTGATACTGTCAAACTATTGGCCATTGAAGTTGTCCAGGGCCTGCGCACATGTGATCATTACAGACCAGGAAGCTTCAGATAAACTAGTGATGGATTCATTCAGATGCATACTATCGGAAAGTGAAAGAGCGGTGATTAAGGACCTGGAGGACCAGGTGCAGAGATGTGATGGGTATGAGTCGCCAGCAACTATGGCACAGGCTGCAATTGCCTTAGCACCTTATGGATGCACCCAGCTCCCTTCCGCAGACTGTCTTGGAACATTCCTTCTTGAAATGGCTATCCAGTTTTGTTATTGTCGTCCACATTGGCCACTTACACAAATGAGCAGATCTTTCAAGAATTCCTCAAACTCTACTTTCATTGCACTCTCTGAATCTGACATTACCGATTTTTACAATGTTCTTCAACCAACAGCTACATCAGTAACAAAGAAACTATCTTACTCCTACTCGGACAATGGCAGAGTCAAAAGTTTTGAGAAATCTGTGAGCTCCTTTTTGGAAAAGGTTTTGCTGAAGCTTGGGCAAGACCAGCTGAGGCGTCTTTTACTGTTGTGGTCCAACACTGACTGCCTGAATATGAAGGTTCTCCACGTGGCTTTCTCGGAGTCAGATCAAGTTTCCCCACCTGTGTTTGATGGGTTTGCCAACGAGATGTGTCTCAGCCGGTACTTCCCCTCAGCCGAGGTGTTGCAGGAGCACCTTGAAACCAGCTTAGAGGAAAGTGTTGCCTTCAGGTTGTGATGCTAAGTTCACCACCACAACGATGATAAAATATCTCATAGGTAGGTGCTGGCTTTGGATCAGGCATTTCTTTTACGTGTCTTTGAGACTGTGTTCTGATCAGGATGTAACCAATCTCGGACTCTGTGTTAACCTTTTGATCGTATATGAATAAAACAGGAACTCACAGAAACTGTTAATATATAATAATAATGTCTATTTATATTGCGCTGGGTTCCATCCACAGAGGTGCATAAAGGCGCTACAATAGTCACAGATCACAGAGGAGACTGTTTGGGGATATAAAGAGAAAGGTTTTAGGTTGGGATGTCTCAAGGGTGGGGGATTCTTTAATGTTCAGTGGATGCTATCCCGTACTTGTGTCTTAAATAACCTGAAATGATTTCCTTAAATTTCACTTTTGCCCTGACCATTTCTGTCGTTCCATGACTAAAGTCAGAAAATGGAGATGACGTCATGGCAGACAATAACTACAAACATACAGAACAAGGCATGTATATGATAGAGTATGGAACATAATCTTACAGTAAACAAGTTTTTGTGCTTGATTTCTGCTGGCAATGGATATGGTGAAGTGGTGATGATCCATGATTCCAGAACAAGGTCACAGCTACCCGATGTCAAGATTAATGTATCTAATGTATCGTTTTGTCGATATATATTATAACGGTTGTGCCCTGGAAATCCTTCGGTGCATAATATTATAAGTTCGACTCGCATAATTAAAAGGGATTAGTGTCCAGCGAGAATACTAATGGTTTGGCATGGACAGTGCTTACCATCTGTGGATTAACCAACGAATTATTGAATTCACTAATCGTCGCTAACATTATCACATTCATTAAAGCACGTCATTGTAACATCTAGTAAACGATTTTACTATTTGTATTAAACGAAATTATTACTTCTCTGTGCTGAGTTGCGTCCCTTGGGCATTACAGATACCTATGATTGTGTTGCAGCCATGAAATAGTGGTGCTCTGTAATAACCACAGGCTACGGGTTGTGAGGTCAATATCTTTTATTCCGTAGTGGAAGGAGTAGTAGGTGTAGACACTCCTGTGGGTGACGCGGGAGTGTGCTCAAGCACCCAGCAGCCGGGCAGCCAACACGTGCAATAATCCTTAGATCAAAACTCAATCTTTAAAACAGTCCTCATGTAGAGACAGTGTGGTGCAAAACTGATTAGTAATATGGCGGTGAGAAGTATATTTGAAATTAAACCAATCAACTGAGAAGCTGAGCCGGGCTATTGTTAAAACAACTAAAGACAATGACATAAAAGTAGATCGACCCAGATACCCTTAAATACACAATGAACCAGCCCTGTAACACAGAACTGAACAGTTAAGGCCAAGACAAGACGCAACTGGATTGACAACATATATATAATGTATAGAGAAGTCGTCTGTCGGATCACCTGAAATAAGAATAAAAATGAAAATGATAAATTATTAATGTATGTACACAATATACAATCCCTGGATTTATCCCTGTTACAATTGCAGGATGAGATTCTAGTTGGCCCTGATTATATTGTAGGTTTGTCAGCACTATCCCCTGGGTTTCACCATAGTGGTAACCATCTGAGACATGCATCACTTCGTGCTTTGTTCCCGCATTAAGCTGACACGCCCTGAGAGCGGAAGGTCGCGGGTTCGATCCCCGACCGCGTCATACCAAAAGACGTTAAAATATGGTACTTGTTGGTCCCTGTCTAGCGCTCGGCATTAATGGGTACATCAAGGACTGGTCGGCTTGGAGTCAGTATAATGTGTCTGAGAGGGGTATTCATGCTTCACTGCGGCATGGTATCTCAGTGGGCTAGCACTATAAAACCAGCTTAAGTCTGGGCTAGTACAAGCAGCCGCACATACACATACACACGCATGCACGTCGTCATATGAGCGAAATACTCTCAAGCACGACGTTAAACCCAATTTCACCTCACCTCACGTGACACGCCCTTATGTAAATGGAAAACGTGTTGCATGCGGCATCGTTTGATGTGTCAGTCTGATCAAGCACAAATCAATGTAGTGATGCTTGTATATTTTGTAATTTCTATAATGGTAATTTTAGGCCTTAAAAGCGGGAACAACTGCACAGGTTTAAGTAGGGCAGAATTTGGATGACTGATGGCTAGGCCCGAATTTGTCTATTTCTATTCTACTTCAAGAACCATCCCCGCATCATTATCATATAATTGAGCAACACCCACAATAGCATGGCATCAACTAACCACACCTAAATATTACATCCTTAAGGCCACACCTACGACAGTTTCCCATGAGTCGAGCCATATCCACGAGATTATTACATCTGTTAAGGCAGACATGAATATTTGGTGCATTAAACCACACCTGCGGCGTGTTTACATCCATATAGCCACACCAACGACATTATTACATCCACTGAGGCACACTCAAGACACCTGTGTGTCCTTTAAACCACACCCACAACAATAGTGCATCTATGAACTACATCCATGATAGTGTTACATCCATTAAGCCACACCCACAACAATAGTGCATCTATGAACTACATCCATGATAGTGTTACATCCATTAAGCCACACCCACAACAATAGTGCATCTATGAACTACATCCATGATAGTGTTACATCCATTAAGCCACACCCACAACAATAGTGCATCTATGAACTACATCCATGATTGTGTTACATCCATTAAGCCACACCAACGACATGATCACATCCATTAAGCCACACCCACAATAATAGTGCATCTATGAACTACATCCATGATAGTGTTACATCCATTAAGCCACACCCACAATAATAGTGCATCTATGAACTACATCCATGATAGTGTTACATCCATTAAGCCACACCCACAACAATAGTGCATCTATGAACTACATCCATGATAGTGTTACATCCATTAAGCCACACCCACAACAATAGTGCATCTATGAACTACATCCATGATAGTGTTACATCCATTAAGCCACACCCACAACAATAAAGCCACACCCACAACAATAGTGCATCTATGAACTACATCCATGATAGTGTTACATCCATTAAGCCACACCCACAACAATAGTGCATCTATGAACTACATCCATGATAGTGCATCTATGAACTACATCCATGATAGTGTTACATCCATTAAGCCACACCCACAACAATAGTGCATCTATGAACTACATCCATGATAGTGTTACATCCATTAAGCCACACCAACGACATGATCACATCCATTAAGCCACACCAACGACATGATCACATCCATTAAGCCACACCAACGACATAATTATGTTCATTAAGCCACAACTACTACTTAATTACGTCCATTGGCATTAAGCAACATCCATGACATTATGACGTCCATTAAGCCACGCCCACGACATTATGACGTTCATAAAGCCACACCCACAAAATTTGTATACGCATTAGACCACCCATTAAATCACACCCACTAAGAGATGGCTTCTGCAGCAGTTCGTGATCACATAGCTTCACAAGATACGTCATCAGATGTCACTTCATCAGATACATCTAGGTTAAACCACTGCAGACATTACACGGTGCTGTTTAGCAAGACATTATACAGTCTTGTTGAATGTATCCGTCAGAAAAAAGGCGTTCCCAAATCAATTTGTAACAAAACTATTCTTTTTATCTCAAACTGTATCTGCAATTGGGTGTCCATGAACTTACAAAAAAGGTGAATCGGGTAGTAGGATTTTACGACGTATATTCTATTGTCTTGCAATACCACTCTCGGTGTACAAGACATGGACTTCGCATCTTACTGCCAACGCTTATATAAATACGTAACACCACCGACCCGTGAAATCTGTAGACAAGCAACAGTGCTTTGGCCGTAATAGTGGCGTTTTAGTGCTGAAGTACTGGTTGTGGGTGAGGTTATAAGGGCAAAATGTATGTGGTTTAACACAGGAAAACTAGTGGTCGACAGTATAAGTACCTATCAACATGAGCAGCTATTCACGATTCACACGGAGAAATGCCTTAGTGTTGATCTTTTTATCAATACGATTTAAACTCATGGAATTTACATTTCCACGTGGACCAAGTGTGTTAAAACAAATATATGTGTTAATACAGGTCGGAAATGTTCAATTGCGATATACACTTGTCAATTCACAGAGACAGGGCTGTTCCATAGGTCCTAATGGATTCCAGATTTGAGACAAACCGCACCACTCTGATATTATGTACATGGATCGTTATCCCACGAGAACAGCAACACGCTGTCCTGAGACACTTGTCTTCATATTTTTATGAAAACGTACACGGCCTAACTATATTCTTGATGGCCAATGTTTGAAAAGCTTCCATTTTATTTTGAAGGAATCTTTAGCAAAGCCATGTCCAAAAGTTCACATATGGGAGTAATGTGGTTAACGAGATATCAGTCTTCACAACACATTGGGGTAGAATGATTCTACAAACATTGCAGAAACTGAAAACAGTCTGTCATTTGGTGCCTCTTGGACTATAGTATGCCCTCAGATAATATATAAAACAGGGGCGGATACGGCTTTTTGAGAAAGGGTGTGGTGGGGGTGGTGGTGCACACTCTAGAAAGGGGGATGCACACTTCATTAAACTTTCAGGACAAGGGTATGTGGGGTGAGTGGGGTGTTTGCCCACCCCTGCACCTCCCCTCTGGATCCACCTATTTTAAAAATATGTTCAGTATAGTATAGGATGACTTCCCGCCATAATCAACAGTCAAAGATTTGGATTGCTTGATTTAGATTTAGACGGGGGCTGTTTTTTTCAGAACAGCACTGTATTCAAAATGTTAAATGCATATTTTGTTTCCTGAAGTTTGTGATGCATTTGTTGCAGATTTTGCATTCGTGAGGCTGGAACATAGCAAAACCAATTTAGGCTTGAGGTTGACAGATAATATGTAGAAAATAAAACATAAAAACAACTGCATTTGTATCATTTTGTAGGTGAGACCGACTACTTTTTGCTCACTCCTCGTATGCATGAAACGCTATGGTACTTGAATTTATGAAAATCTGGTCGTCGATTTTGAATAAGTCTTTAAAGGCAAGAGTTCTTGGGACGTGAATCGTGATGCATTTGTTGTTAGATCACGGCGCATTCACATAGAAGATGAGAGCGCAGATTTGGATAGGGAATCTATCACGAAAACACTGTGGGGCCGTCTCTAGCTGTGGGAAAAAACAACAGAATCAAAATCGTTCACAGGGGGCAGCAGGGCTACCGGGTTCATCCAGTCACTTTACTAGAAACATGAAAGTGATAAATATTTTAGTTGCATAACATTTGGAATGCCATCGTCACATCATTCGTTGAATAAAATCAACGCCTAAACTTAGTAAACTCAGCAGATTTTTGAAGATAGATCAAACACTCGGTTATGCTGGGGATGTAAGTCACTGTGCAGTATGGTGCTCTCGGCCTTACACTACCTCTCGCCTCGGGCCTTACATCATTGTGTTTTATCCTTTACATCATAACCTTATCTGGCGAAGTGTTCCTGAGATCCCCTAGGTCATATTGACTGTGCAGCGACAGAACGCCTCCAGGCGTCACAATCTATACCCCGTAGATTCTATTGGGCATATCTTGACGTTATTCGAAATGTCTTTTGAAATGTAAACAAACATCCATGGTAAATCCACCAAATATTATGCAAGTTTGCTATTGGTTATTGTTAATAACCGCACAACGACCAACATTCCTGACCTACTATTTCTGTTAGTGGCCTTATACAACAAGCAGGGCGTTATACTAGCAACTTCAACAATGTCGGAATGACTTAAAAGTCTGGATGTCAAATCTGACTTTTGTTTGAGCAAGTGTTTATGAATCACTTTCAAATAGTGATAATATAAGGTGTTCGCGAAAACGTGAGCGTATCCTGCTCCATCGGTGTCACCCGTCACAAACACATGCAAAGGCAAGTCCATTGTTCACCTGAAAAGACACGGAACACATAGGGAATTTATACAGGTTATACTGCAATTTTAGGAATTTATCGAACATAATTTCATATATGATGCATTTCTATGATGCTGCAGGCGTTTTTAGACTTTTGTTTTTATCAATTTCCACCACTTAAGTGAAGTTAAATATATGGCTTCAAAAAGGTTCTGAATAAAAGGAAAAAGCTTTACTGAATATTATTAGACATAAATAGAAAGTTGTTTTATCAGATGCTCCCAGTGATAGAGATAATGTTGTAACAAACAGAAGTCGCCTGTGGCTCACCCGGTTAGATCAACAGGTCTTGTTCCACCCCGAGGGGTATGTCCCGGCTATACGGTAACAATACATGTTTATGGCTGCGGCCAGAGTGATTTCGTATTCAGGTACTTGGCGGTTCTCTTTCATGAGATAACAACTCACCTAACTTACACTTAGAGCACTAGGGCAGACGCAGGTACCCGCGAATACCTGGTGTCATCGCTGATTTTCAGCCGTCCATTCATATACTTTTCATGGCTGTTTTGCCAATGGATTCTGTGTCGGTAAACACCCACCAGCTATACGTGCCAATGAACTTCTTATTTCAGTATCTACCTATTACATTACAAATAACTCACATATGTTTAAACGTACATTTCTGAAATAATTTCGACAGATTACTGGTAAACGAGAAAGATCTACAACTAGAACAATCATGGGCACTACTCTTCTTGTGTACCGGAGGAACAAACTAACGTTCCCATTTATTTTGAAAATGTGAAGTTATTAATGAGGAATTAAAGGAATTACATAAAGAAACTGATAATTGTTCTTTTCAATAATTTAGAACACGAATAAAATTATCAGGCCATGGAGCTTTGGAACATAATGATATGCATCTGACTTCTTTTCTTGTGGGAGAGTCATATTCTGATGTCATAAGTCAACGTTTGCCGATGTATCATTCTATGCAATTTATTTAGGACTAACTTCAACAGTTGCAAGTATTTATTAAATCGTCATTACATTGGCTACATATTCTAAATAGGCTAATGTTTATGTCTATCTCTGCGTGAATTATAACACTTGTAATCTTTCCCCATTCACCAGAAGCATTTCTACTTTCTTCATTTAATATTTTTTTGCCCCCTGTGTGATAAGGAGCAGCTAAACGGGTTATTGTTGTTACAGAGTTTAGTTTTGTTTGCTTGTTGTTTAACCCCGCACACAGCAATATTCCAGGTGTAGCATATACATTCTAACTAGATTCTTCACGGGTCTGCACAACTCAGTAATATTGTCTACCGTCTATACAGATGTGATAATCTCTGTCAGCCACACTAGAACGGCAATGTACCTGCAGGTATTCTGCTCCAATGAAAGAACAAGATTAAAGTATAGATGTAAGGATGTCAGTGATTGGGAAGAATCAATCAAATGCAAGTATCAGTTTTCGATCAGATCAATACCCCAGGCCCTATTATGTTTTAGAGATTTAATCGCATGTTTAATTCAATCTTGTGTGATATCGGCACTACGTACGATATCGCCGAACACAGAGTTACATGTCATTATATAACGTTATTCTTGAGGGCAGTATCATTTCCAGAAGCCCTAGGTTAAAGCGTTTGATTTTCGAAGCCCGGGTTCGAAGCGCTAAGATGGGTCGTGTGTTAAGCTCATTTCTAATGTATGGCATGATACGACTATCTTAGCGGCTAAAACCAAACTCACTTCACTAACTCACTAAGTATCATTTCCAGAAGCCCTCGCCCCTGTTCACAAGCCGGTCGTAACGCTAAGGTGATCGTAACTCCAACACTCAAACATACACCTACGACAGTCGCGGAGCTACGATCGTTTTGTGGAACAAAGCCTATGTCGCCGTAAAGTGTAGAGTTCGGGTTTCTGCAATGGAAATTCCATGAAAAGAACGCTTCCCTTAAAACATTACCTGTCGGGAAAGTGAAAACACACCCCAGGCAAACCATGACATATCATGCAATCAGACAATGATGTGAAATCGAGAGTGACCACCTGATATTCTTCGGTCGGTTATAGTAAGCAGGCAGACTTATTAATATATTAACCTTACATCTCACACCAAAACATACAGTGATACGGTGTGTGAAGTACTAGTGATGGTTTAAGTGTTTTGAGACATTGTGATTCACTTTAATATATGCATGGGATATTTACTCAACAATTGGTAATCATAACAGTATTATAAACCTATATTTTCAAACGTTGGTATGCATTTTAAATAATACAACTTTATTTCAGGAATTAAATGGGAGGAATAACTCCTCCGCGTGCACTTATAAATTCACATTTTCATGTTCAACAAGCGTTTCCGATAAATAATATGTTTTTAGAGGAGAACTATTACTAAGCTGAACAGAAGTGGAGAAAGTAATCACCCTTGTCGTCCTAAAACCTTCGGCCGGTACGCCCGGCCTGTTACATGACATACGTACCCCTACGCTGTTAACCTTAACTTTACAGGGGTACAATGCTAAACATTATATATGAGGGTGCAGGTTCGATTTAGGCTTTGGAAGTTTCGTGTCAAACTTATCTTAACTTGTAACTGGTAAAACACCAAACTAGATGAGAGCTGACTGTCATACTTCCAAAGTAAATCCTCAATCGAATCCTTAGTCTCACTTTGGATCACTAAAAGTAGTTTCTGATATGAAAATATGTAGAAAAAAGAGTTGTTAAATTATTTTAATAACATAAAGACTTTCTACTTTTCAGAAACTGAAAATGCATTTGATCCAAACTGGCTAAATATTATAGACGTATATGGGCTGTATTGGCTACATTTGCTGCAAGGTCTGTATGACACTAAGGACTGCCGATGGTTATTCAAAGTTTCTTTAAAACCAACTCACTCACAGTACATCAAAAATAGCTCCCGGCTTTCAACTTGAGTCCGAGCACTTGCTCAAAGAAGAAAACTCATACAGAACAATGGGATGACGTCACAGGGGAGTTATAACCCGGGCGAGGCAACAGGCGTCATATCGCTGCTTGGTCATCAGTCAAGTCATGTGGTTCATTCGAAGTCAGCCGTGGAGGATCTATGGTCTGTTTGGATGTTTTGCTTTGCCAACGATGTGGATTCTACATGGGATTTGTAAGTATGATTTTTAAAATAACTTCTAAATGGTTACAATTGCAACATCCACAATTACACTGATTTATAGGGATTTCAACAACAAATTTGTTAAGGTTAAGAACATTAAATGAAGCCCTCTGGCATTTGATAACTACCTTGCATTTATCCAAACATTTGATTAAGTGCAATGCATTGGTAGATATAATTAGGAGAGCGTGTTTCGTAAAGTAAGTCATACGTTTGAGTAAAAGAAATATGAATCGAATGGAAAGGAAACGATATCTCTCAGACGATTTTCTTATGTGTTTGATATTCAAAATGAAATTCTACCATGACTTCAGTAAATACTGGATTGTGATCGGTAAATTAAAGTCATTCGGAAGTTTATGATCGCGTTTTATACCACTGATTTTCTAAGTATGTTTTTCAAATCTTTATAACGCGTTTATGGTAGAATGGAGGTAAACATACTGTGTTGGAAAGTATATAACGAAATTATAGTAGCTGTAATTGTTTTTATTTAAAGCCTCACGCTACATGTTTGGTTTTAAATCACATTTAGAGCTATTATAATTCCGTTATATGCCTCTGATGTTTCATCACAGTATGTTTGTCTCCTACATAGCTTATGTTACCCTTATTGTTTAAGGGGCGGTGGGGTAGCCTAGTGGTTAAAGCGTTCGCTCGTCACGCCGAAGACCTGAGTTCGATTCCCCACATGGGTACAATATGTGAAGCCCATTTCTTGTGTCCCCCGCCGTGATATTGCTGGAATATTGCTAAAAGCGGCGTAAAACCATACTCACTCACTCACTTATTGTTTAAAAAAAGTAAACTGTCAGCGCTTCATGAATACTTTTACACGTTTGTTTTTCTCTCCAGATATCATTTGATTGAAAATATGTTCAATTTTAAAAACCGTGTCCGAACGTATTCAGTGGCAGAAATACATGTCGTTTCAGATTTAGCTGACAACAAGGTAGCTGTACCGGTGCATCAGCAACTGCAGTTGACCCTTAACCTTTCCAGAGATGTCAAAACGAGAGACGTCATAGTGAAACATTATATTCAGAATCTTCAAACCCAACTTGAAGACAAGATAAATAAAAGAGTCCTTTTCATAAGAAATCAGGTGAGTTGATATTCCCGATACAGCGCGACCACTGCCAAGAAGATATGGAGATAAACACTGTCTAGATAAGCTACCTAATGAATAGTTAAAGATAAGTTACAAAAAATTAATTCATAGTTTCTGTGGCATTATTGACCAAAGCAGTGACATGTGTAGGTATTTACCGATATTTCAAAAAGTACAATTTCTTAGCGAAATTTGCAATAGAGGAAAATCCGGTTTGCAACAACAAATGGTTAACAAAATTCTGAAATAAGCAACTGAATTTGAATTTTCCTTATACTGTATGCCTATATCTATCTCACCATTTCAACCGTTACCATACTGATTGTCTTTCCCCATTTTCCTTTAAGAATGAACATGAAAAGATCTTAAGAAAAAGGAGAGAACATTTGACGAAGTATTGTGAGAAGCAGCCAGATGCCCAGACACCGCTCAATGGAAAGATAGTACGAAAGCATCACTGGTTCCTGGACAAGCCTCGCGTGATGTATTGTCCTGTTGCAAAATCCGGGTCAACATTCTGGCGGAGAGCTTTTGAAGTGATCAGACGAAAAGACCCAAAGGTTGTCTCCCCTTTCCAGTTGTCCTACATGGATTTCAAAGCATATAAGGCAAGGATTCCACTCAATATGACGGAGCCGGCTCATGCGACAGACATGTCTGAACTCCTTGAAACCACTTTAAAATTCATATTCGCTCGGGATCCATACAGGCGGGTATTTTCAACATACATCGATAAAGTTCTGTCGCCAAACAGGTACATGTGGGGTCTTGGTAGGAAGGCGATAAAAATGTTCAGATCATCCTATAAAAATGGTACAGAGATTTGTGGATCTGATATGACTTTTGAGGAGTACATCAAATATATAAATACTCTCAACTCTAAAAGATTTGACGTGCATCTTAGACCGGTTGCGTATGTCTGTGACCCTTGCGCTGTGGACTATGACGTCATTGGCAAAATTGAAACGTTCCAAGATGATACCCGATATATATTGAAAAGAACCGGTTCTTATGACCAGGATATTAAATTCAAAGATATGAGCACTGAGTACAAGGTAGATTACATAGTAGACTCTGTCGTACGGACATTTGCCTTAAAGAGTGGGTGGAGTCGGTGCATTAGTGTCCATGCTGGTTATCAGAGACTATGGCGCCAGTTACAAATACAGGGGAAGATAGAGAAAATAGACGTGTACCCACTCACCCCCGAGCAGAGTAATAACATCACCGTCACCGAATATCTCAACATGGCGTTGGATGCTTTCAAGAGATCCGGACCGGCGGCAAAAAATAACAAGCGAGAGGCCTTTTTGCAAGCTTATTCGACGGTGACACCCAAAGACATGGAGAATCTTCGCGAGCAGTATTTTGCTGATTTTGAAATGTTTGATTTTGAACAGCGGCCTGAGGAATTATATAAGGCACATAAAAATGTGAGGTTGGAATTTGACTACTTTAATGTCATGAGGTTGAAATAAGTTTTCACTAACTGTAATAACTCATAATGTCAAATGCAGGGAGGACACAGTCCAATGGGATGTCTATATTCCTACCTTGTGTTAATAGTGCACCTTAAGCTGGTCCAGAGCCAAATGTTAATAATTGTTGCAATATTGATGTTTAGTTTCCACTTTGAACAATACTCGGACAATGAATTCAACCATCCATAAGCCATCGGGGCGTCCAGAAGGTATAACTGTAGCATCAGCGTAAGGTAACAAAAATAAATTTTAATGATTGAAATCCGTTTTCATTTCCTCGCTCGATTTCTACTCCTTTTCATCCACTATGTTATATGCATATGATATTTATTGTGCAAATATTTCATTGTTTTTATGTGTATATTTTTATGTATTTATATGTGTGCATATTTGTATTAGTTTCTTGTACTTCTACAAGAAAGTACATGCATTTGTATCAGTATCTGTTAATGATCTTTGTGTATTATGATGCTGTACATTATTTATGTTAATAAAATATCTGTCTGTTTGAAATCAGACAGGTAATCGAGCGTGACCACCTGATAGTAGTGCTGAACTGTACACAAACACAGAAACATTTGGAGTACCAGAGTGTAGAGAGACCGAATCACACATTTTTAACGGTGTTGATCACCTAACTTCTTGTTACGCGGACATGACACCTCATAATCCCTAGGCGTCTCAGGTCTCTTCGTCGTGTCAGTCAGTTATATAATGACTAACTGAATGGATGGATGGAAATAAATGAATGAATGGATGGATGTATGGATGGAAATGAATGAATGAATGAATGAATGAATGAATGAATGAACCTCAAATAAGGTGAGGTGAGGTGAAATTGGGTTTAAAGTCGTGCTTGAGAATATTTCGCTCATACGACGACGTGCAGGCGTGTGTATGTGTATGTGCGGCTGCTTGTACTAGCCCAGATTTAAGCTGGTTTTAAAGTGCTAGCCCACTGAGATACCATGCCGCAGTGAAGCATGAATACCCCACTCAGACACATTATACTGACTCCGAGCCGACCAGTCCTTGATGTACCCATTAATGCCGAGCGCCAGACAGGGACCAACAAGTACCATATTTTAACGTCTTTTGGTATGACGCGGTCGAGGATCGAACCAGCGAGGTTCCGCTCTCCGTGCGGACGCTCTAACCACTACACCACGGAGGCGGTCAGTCAAATAAGACACTCATGTGGTAGTAACACATAGATATTTACTGATTTAATTTTGCGCAAAAGGATATATTAGCACTTGACTTTAAGGTATTTACGACGAGAAATAAATTTCCTAAGCTAAAATTATATCTTTTAGTTTCTAATCCTTAAACGCCCATATCGTATTGACTCTTTGCCTGCATAACGTCCCGTAACGTGATCAGCACTGAATACTGGGGAACACATCAAGGTTGATCTAGCCTTGCCTAGCCTTGTAATAACTTCTTTGTCTGGCCTCCTTGTTTGTCAATCACATTTCCTAAGTAGGTAAATGCCTCTACTTCTCTGATGGGTTGATCTCCTGCTGTGACTGAGGTATTGGCAGTGGTATTGATTTTCAGGACCTCTGTTTTCCTTTTGTTGACCTTAAGTCCTGTTCTACAGGATGTTATTGCCACGTACAGATAGCAGGTAAAATAGTAGTACACACAGTATCAGGTAAAATAGTAGTGCACACAGTAGCAGATAAAATAGTAGTGCACACAGTAGCAGGTACAATAGTAGTGGAGTCAGTAGCAGAATAAACGGTAGTGCATATAGTAGCAGGTAAAATAGTAGTGCACACAGTAGCAGGTAAAATAGTAGTCACACAGTAGCAGGTAAAATAGAAGTGCACACAGTAGCAGTTAAAATAGTAATCACACATGGCAGGCTGAAATAATAGTAACACAGTAGCAGGTAAAATAGCAGTGGACACAGTAGCAGGTACAATAGTAGTCACACAGTAGCAGAAAAAATAGAAGTGGACTCAGCAGCAGGTAAAATAGTAGTGTACACTGTAGAAGGAAAAATAGTCGTGCACACAGTTGCAGTTAAAATAGTAGTGCACACAGTAGCAATTAAAATAGTAGTGCACACAGTAGCAGGTAAAATAGTAGTCACACAGTAGCAGGCTGAAATAGTAGTCACACAGTAGCAGGTACAATACTAGACACACAGTAGCAGTTACAATAGTAGTCACACAGTAGCAGTTACAATAGTAGTCACACAGTAGCAGGTACAATACTAGTACATACAGTAGCAGGCTGAAATAGTAGTCACACAGTAGCAGGTAAAATAGTAGTCACACAGTAGCAGGTACAATACTAGTACACACAGTAGCAGGCTGAAATAGTAGTCACACAGTAGCAGGTACAATAGTAGTCACACAGTAGCAGGTACAATAGTAGTCACACAGTAGCACGTACAATACTAGTACACACAGTAGCAGGCTGAAATAGTAGTCACACAGTAACAGGTACAATAGTAGTCACACAGTAGCAGGTACAATAGTAGTCACACAGTAGCAGGTAAAATAGTAGTCACACAGTAGCAGGTACAATAGTAGTCACACAGTAGCAGGTACAATAGTAGTCACACAGTAGCACGTACAATACTAGTACACACAGTAGCAGGCTGAAATAGTAGTACACACAGTAGCAGGTACAATAGTAGTCACACAGTAGCAGGTAAAATAGTAGTCACACAGAAGCATGTAAAATTGATATAATTAAGATACAACGAAGAAGTCACTGTGCAACAATGGATGTTGGGCTACAGACAATAATATACGATTTTCCTCTGCATCCTTGGTAGGTGTTGATGGAGTTATGATGATTCTGGTTGTTGGTAAACCATTTCAACGTGTTGTAAGGTGAATCCTTACCAGTTGTGTCTGTTTCTCCCTCTTTTACACAGTGTAAGGTTTCTTTTAAGTGACTGCCCTGTGTCTTAAACAACAGTAGCTTGATAATGATGCCCTCTGCAGTCTCCCAAAATGTATATACATTTATTTTTTATTTCACTCATTACTCACGTATTAAATGTGAATATTAGCAGAACATAACTCCAGATTCAAAGACAGGTGAACAGTTAGTATTTTGTCAAGTCACCATGGGCAGCAATGCAGGCTTCAATGCCGCGGGGCATACTACTGATCAAAGAAGTTAGAAAGTCGTGGTCCATGCTGTCCCAATATCGGACCACTTCTTCTTTCATTTCAGCAACATTTGTAAGATTTTTCTTATTGACACTTTCCTTCATACGTCCCCAAACATTTTCTATCGGATTTAGGTCAGGGCTATAGCTTGGCCAATCTAATAATGTCATATTTTGGGTCCGAAACCAGGCCTGTGAATGCTTTGAACGATGTTTTGGGTCGTTGTCCTGCTGGAAAATCCAAACATTTCTATAGAACACGTGAGCAGATGGAAGTAAATGTCCCTCGAGAATATCCGTGTACCGCTCACTGTTCATATTCCCTTCAAATACACAGAGGGGCGTTGCCCCTAACACAGATATGCCACCCCACACGTCCAATTTCGGACTGTATTTTGGGCGCTGATACAAAGGTTTGTCAGTTTGTTTGGTCCAGAATTTCAGTGTATTAGGAAACAGCCACACAGAACTTTAATCTGAGAAAATCACATTATCCCAGTTAAAATTTCTATGCTGTAAGCACCAGTTCAACCTTCGCTCCTTTTGGTCAGGTTTCATGATCGGTGATGGAATTCCTCGACTTTTCTGCCAACCCATTGCATGCAGCTCAGTTCTATTTGTCTCCTTCCAGACAGCCACAGTTCCTCTATCAATCATATCCAGCCTTAAGTTTTCTAAACCCCTTCGTTTGTTTTTAGAAACAAGAATACCAAGCCGCCTCCTGTCACCGACAGTCAATTTTCTGGGCCTACCTGCGCCTCCCTGGTGCTCAGTGCCATATCCATTTGCAAATATTTTTCCAAACACGATAAACAGTGGACAAAGGGATGCCTGTTCTACTTGAAATCACTTTAGCTGATCTGATGTCCTTGTTATATTACTCTAAAATCAACTTCCTCTTCTCTAAATCATCCATACTGAGGATCACTGAAAATGTCGTCTGCTATCAAGTAAACAAAGGGGGGTAACTCTTCACAAACTAATGAAAAAGTATTAACGGAGATGTCCCTCTTGAATGAAACCAAGCACTTGATAGCTGGTCATGGTTGTTTATACTAGAAATCCAATTAAACATATTCCTAAAATTCTCAATAATTTCTGTTCATACTATATACCAACACACCACCAGTGACCTGATTACATGTACAAACTAATTAACAACTCGTCCATACCACCGTTAACACTTCAGTCTAATTACCGTATAATTTCTGAAACTGCATCTGAAACTCTGAAACAACAAATCCCGACTAAAACGGTGCAATTATAGGAAGCTAGCACCTTGTGAGTTACCAGCGCTCTGGCTTGGGGAGGAACGGTGATGGCTTGTATGTTCAGTGTTTGTATACGGGGATGAGGGGAGATTATCCCCCGAGTGATAATCCAGGCGGGGCATCAAATAAACCGATAATCGAGGTTGGAATAAATGCACGCACGATATATTAGAAATTAGGCACACACAGTGTAACATTAGGACGCTCGTTGCATTGTTTGTGTTGGAAGACAGTGGTGGGTGTTTGATCGGACAGTGAGGTAGTGTGTGGCGAGCAGCTGCAAGAATTGGGTCAGAATAGTCAGATAGTTATAGTCCGTCTACCTGACTTTTGGAACACGTTTTTCGCAAGTCACGTTCAAACAACAGAAGGCATCCAACTTTAATTGGTTCAATTATAAATAAATGAATGAATGAATGAATGAATGAATGAATGAATGAATGAATGAATGAATGAATGAATGAATGAATGAATGAATGAAACAATGAATGGATGGATGGATGGATGGATGGATGGATGGATGGATGGATGGATGGATAAATAAATAGTAATAACATCTATTAAAGATTATTACTGAGTTGTTTGACCACCACACTGAAGCAATTAAAACAGTTTGGTTCAAGTCAAAACATTGATAACACAACAGTCTCGTTTCCTGCTGACTGGGTTCCGTCCTATTGCGCAACTTAGTACAATAACCAGTCCAGAATTTTGAGAACCATAGTTGTTTGTGGTGTCTTTTTCACTTTCACACGAAAAATTCGGATCGGCTGAACAGTAGGTCATTGTCTGAATAGGTTAATGAGACTCATGTTTCGGTTTGTCCAGATGGAACATCATGGATTGCACGTTTAAAATTACGACAAAGATTCATGTTGAATTGCATAATATATTACGCTTACACTCGGTGTGCGAAATAGTTTCCCAAATTTGCTACCCAGCCGGGCCAGCTATGCCTGAAAGTTACC